TACATGTGAAAACACTGTCAGGCTACAGTGGAAACTCAGCCAAACTGGACAGCTGAAGATGAAGCATGAATCCATGGACCCAACCTGCCTTGTGTCAACAGCTGAAGCTGGTGGTGGTGTAATGGTGTAGTGAATGCTCTCTTGGCACACACTGGGCTACCCAATATAAAATAAACATCATTTCAATGCTTCAGCTTATTTAAGCATTACTGCTGACCCTGTAAATGCCTTTTTGGCCATTTTTCTCTTCTTCTCCATTTTGTCTTCAAAAAGTTACTTCCAGCATGATCTTAAAACAAAGTACAAGTAACTGCACACTGGTCCCATGAACATGACACAGGCTCTGTGTTCTTCTCCTATTGAGACAGATGTCCAGTAAAGAACACCTGAAAGTGCTCAAATAGCTCTATAGGGCAGAGAAACATGATCTCTAGCATAACACACAGGGCTGCAAAAAATAAATTGCTGTTGCAGTTTGCACAGACAGTAGATGGAGGCGCAAAAAACAAGAGTGCTACCAGCACCTCCTTGTGGAGAACTTTAAGCCTGCTACACATGAGTGAGTGTGAGGCATAAAGTAATTTGTTCATTATAAGCCTAAACTTCCCTCTTTCCTTTTACTTAATGTAATTTTAATAAAATGTTTAAGTATTTGGTATATTTCTTTATAAAAAAAAAAAGTAAAAAGTCATTTAATTACTGCTTGTGTTTGTGATATTTTTACGCCCACTATCTCACAGATAAAAATCAGAAAAGCTGAAAATGGGGAAAAAATCAAATGGAATTTGGGAAAGTATAAGACAGACTTCATAGAACATACAGCAAACAACCTGAGAAATGAAAGAAGGCGAAGCAGTTTAGATACTGAAGGAAATAAACTTAAGTCTGAACCTGAGCACAGAATGTGCCAGAGCAAAGTCAGCTATTTGAAATACTTTTAAAAGAAGAAAAAAGAAAGAAACACAAGTGGGAAAAGATACAGAAAAAGTCTATGCAGTTGGCTGAGGAAAGCTACTGCAGTTGACAATAGAGAAATTACTCCTGTGAAAAAAAAGTGCAGCTGAGAAGCGGCCAGCAAAATCACCAACCTGCAGAGCACAGAAGCTACTGAACACAGAAGACTTCAACTGCACAATTATACAGACTGCACTGTTCAGCAAAGAATGCAAATAACAGGCTCTCCTGTCTACTGATAATGCAACATACTTTTGAGAGAAGGTGACTGGTTGAATGGTGCTTCATGCAGCTTAATAGCTCATCAAAGGACTAAAAAGATCTGAAAGTATTAGATTAGCGAACTCGCTATTTACATGCAATCAAGATGAATAAAACTGAGGCCCACTCAATGCAAATAAGCACTAGTAAGACTTGGCAAATCATCTAGAGAGAAGACCACTGGATGAGTAGTGATGTCATTAGGTCACAGGCTTGATCTAGTTTACAGGTTAAGTTAATTAATTCCAATAATGATGCTCACCAAAACAACAGTGGTGGAAAATGTATCTAAAAGCCATATCTAAGTAAAGGTACTGCACCAGAAAAATACAGTACAGGCTGTCATCCATTCAAATACTGCTTGAAAAAGCCAAAAATATCGGTTTTAGATGTAGTTATCAAAACTACTGCACATTATAATTGTATGTAATTATATATTTAACCATATTTAGAATTTAAATCTTTTATTTTAATAAGCAAAGTAGCAAGAGCTTCACTTTAAAACTATAGAAGTGAATGTCAGACAGATAATTCTAGAATCAATAGAAATATGAACATGTATGAAATAAGAATAATTAACAATAAGTAGGTAATGAATAAAAATGACTGGACCACATTAGCTATGTAACTGTGTAGCTAAGTAACTCAAATTCTAAAGTATATAAGCGCTTGATTTGGGACACAGCAAATCATGGGAATCCCTATGGCTCATCAAAACCTGCTAGACACTGATCTAGAGGTTAATAAACACAGCTGTGGTGCTCCCTAGCATTACTACGGTGTCCCTAAGGTGACATGGGGATGATTTTTAATAAGGTGTGGGCACTAATTATTATACTGAGGACACAAGTTAAGTTTCTCATAACTGGCTTCAATAGCAATTCGTGGCCACGCCATGTCACCTTAGGGGGCCGTACATTACTGATAAAGCACCAACCTCAATTTTCTTTGTTATAGGAATAATTCAGTAAATGAGTTTGCACGCTAGAAACCCCCCAAAGTATCCATCCTAAAGCAACTGTCTTTACATTTCAGATTTTCTTCCACCTTCAAGATGCATCATCAGAAGTGTATGTAAGCCCATTCCCGCCACTTAAAATTAAAAGATCCAGCATCTAATTATTATTATTTTGTTATTAAGAGAATTGCTATGCCATTATTTTGAGAGACTTAGTCATTATGTTTGGAATACTGTCTCATTATTTTGAGATATTAAATCAGTATCTCAAAATAACGATTTAGTATCTCAAAAATGAATAGATCAAATGAACATCTCATTAATTTTAGATACTAAGTCATTGTTTTGAAATACTATCTAATGAGAAAGAATCTCAAAATAACAAGCTTGTATCTCACAATAATGGGATAGCATTTGAAAACAATGACTTTAGTATCTCCAAATAATGAAACAGTGATTGATTAAAAATTTAAAAAAAAAAAACGTGCTGGATTTTATTTAAGTGGCAGGAATGGGCTTCCATAGTAGGGAGTTTTCCTTGTCTTTAAATCAGGAAATCTGGCCTTAGACTGACATGGCACTAGAGGTGAGCAGGCGTGTTTACAACAGATGTATTCACAGATTTTTTTTCCTAAATTTTATTTTGGCCGGAGTATCTATTTAAGTGTGTGGTAAGTTTAGCTAGATAGTTAGCTAAAATCAATACCCAACATTAGCGGTGTTAAGTAACGTTAAATGTAGGCCAAGAAAATTGTTAGCTAGCTAGCTAACTGGTAACGTTATAGCAGAGGGACCTCAGGTTGCTTCTTCAGGTCGGGCGGTGGTTTTAAAGGACAGACTGTCAGATGAAGATACACAGCATTTCCCGGTACAGACCCGGTTCATACCAGCAAATCTTGACATTTCCTCCTCGCGCGGCTGTGAATGACCGGGGTCAGTTCTGCAGTGGTCGTTTCATCCATTTTTCTCTGCAAGCGGCATAGGTGCAGTAAAAGCGCAGCGGCCTTCAAACGGATCGGTTTCCGAGCTAAGATGTTCTGAGTTCTCTGCGCGCAGACAGACAGCGGGTCTTCTCGCGTGATTAGTGGGACTCACCCTAAGTTAAAATTTCCAGCCAATCTAAATACTCAAGTAAAGTGAAAATCTCAAATCATGTAAAGGGGAAATCCACTGATTACTTACTTACATATGCATATTTAATAATAAATAGATGTAAACAAAGTCATATATATTCAGAGGAACCAGACGTCGGAAGTGTTTGAAGGGGAATTTCATCAGTCTTTGAAAATTTCTACAAAATTAAATTTTTGAACCGTGCTTGGATGTGAAATCCAGCGTTCCAGACAAACTTACCGATTCATAATTATTCACAAACGTGGTGATAGGAACCAGATGTCTGAGGATTTTAATGCCTCTAAAAGCTACACCACAGAAAGTTTTCACATAAAATGGTTAAATATATGCTGCCTGATGCTAGAGACATTGTTTTGTGCTAGTTTTGAGAAGAGTTTGGCCTAAAATGTAGTTTTACACGGCTATTCAGGGCAGACAGGTGCATGCAGGGTGTTATAAGGCAAAATAGTCCCCAAAAAAACCTTATTTTTCAGATTAACCACTATTTTACCATCACTAACATTACATATAAAAACTCAGAAGGCATGTGTAGGTATACTGGTCGTTTTAGATAGTAAATAAAATGTCTATATTTGCGCTGTAGACATCACAACCCCTGGTTCCTATCACCACCACTGTAAAGAAAAAATACATGAACCACTTCACAAAACCCTGAAAGAGCTTGTTTACATCTCAACAATAGAATTATGTAATTATGCAGAAAAATGGAAAAATCTGCTTAATTCCCTTTTAAATGCAGTAAAGAATTTCTGCTTCTACTTTGCCCAATAAAAAGCAATACAGAAAAGGACTATTCTTAAACAGTGTTGCATACATACTGTTTAATACTGTCAAAAAAGTACTATATTGTGATATTTAATCTTTAATCCTGCTGCGAGGGAATACAACAGAAAGCAAACAAAAATATTTTTTGCTGTCTCTGTGGTTTTGGGAGGTGGTTGTGTATCTGTGCATCAAAATACCCAAACTTACAGAAGCCCTAAAGAGCCATGGATTGTGTTGTTTTTTTTTACTCTGTTTTTCTGTGATGGTTATTTTTGTTGTTTTCTTGAGATCTAATGATGTTTGTCATTGTCACAGCAAATGTTTTTTCCTTGAGATCTCAAGTTATTTATATTATCCCAACATAACAGACATTGTATTATCAAGATAACATTCATTATATTGTGATAATGGTATAAATGTCTTAAAAGTCTCAAGAAAACATTTGTTGTGTCATGGTGATATGAATAACTCAAGATCTTGAGAAAACAAATTAAAATAACTCATCACAAAAAACAGAGTAAAAGTTTCATTTTTTGGGTTTTTAACCCAAAACATCATGTAAGCCATCCTGTAGCTCTTCATCAATGGTCAGTTTCTGACCACAGAGCTGCTCATGGCTGGATATTTTTGGGTGAAGACTTACTCACAACCTAGCAATGACTCTGACGTGTAAAAACTGCCTGATACACGACCACACAGATTACCAAACCACTATATACATCAGTGTCTCTGCTGTGCTGAGAATGACCCACCACCCAAATAATATCAGCAGTGGTCTTGTGGTCAGAAAGTGACCAGTAATAAATGGGGTAGAGGCTGACTGACAAATTGTGCATCAGTAGGTGGCCTTCAGTCTGTAACTGTACACTATACTAGCAAGTGGAAGTACAATAAGAGTGTTTACAATGAAGTGGACAGTAAATGTGTATGTAAGAGAATACAGTGAAATTTAATCAACAACATTACATAAGAGAAAAAAAAACAAAACCAAGTGACACTGGAAGACTGACTTAAATACCTGCCTGCAGATTAAGATGGTAAAACACATTTTTATAAAATAAATGCAGCAAAAATGTAAACTATTCATAGGAGTCTACAGTTACAATAGACAATTCAACATTCATAAATATTACCTTTTAAAGAGAAAAGCTTTTTTCTTCTCTGATATCTAAAACATTGTGCAAAATTCTTCACTCAACGCTTGCTTCAACTCTGTGGGCCCACTGCTTCCCGACTACAGTCCTGCAATCCACAGTTTGCCCTGTTCTAACATCTGATTCAGCTCCAGAGGGACCTGATCTTTAGTTAATGATGTGACTGAGGTGCAGCAAAAGCATAAAACTGTGCAGCAGGAAGAACTACACAGAGCTGGAGCTGGAAATACGATCTCTATTTACACAATTAGAGCAGTGGTCACCAACCCTCTTCCTGGAGATCTATCTTTGTGGCATATTTTAGTTCTAAGTGACCACTGCATTAGAGCATCACCTAGTGGTCAGAAAGTGAACAGAAACTTGCCTGAAGAGTCTGCAAACTGAAAATGATCAGAACAAGTGTGAAAAAAACATTGTTAGGTTTTGTAGCTCAGGAGATTCAGCTGTTTACCATAGCTTTTATTACAGCTGTGGAAAATAAACGGATAAAACTTGTTTAAAATTGACCGCACCTCTGGGGCAGGGACGTAGAACAGTCTGCACACAGTAGTTTGGAATTTTAAGTGTATAATGCTTAATTGCACAAAGGGCACAGTTTGAAGGGTCAGGGTCAGAGAGCGATGCGTATGCAGGGGTGTTTGAGACACACTGGAAGGATTCCTCGGTTAATCTGATGAAACTCCACCAGCTGCAGCAGATCCATAAAAAGAGTGACGCCATCGTCCATTGTGTAGTACTGTCTGCCGCCCTCCTCACACTGTAGAGAGAGAGAGAGAGAGAGTGTCAGGGATGGAAAGAGATAACAAAACCATTTTAACCTCCGCTTGAAGGCACTACAGCCAAAATGAAAAATTTCACCATATGCTATGTCTTTTGTAAAGATGCCTATTCAGATCCTACAGTGGTGCAAGAGTAGAGCGAGATATTCTGGTTTAAAAGCTAGAAAACCTCCCTGATGATGTGTTTTGAAGGTAGGAGGAACTTTTGAGTTTTTTCAAATGATAATGTTTTTCTTTCTCCTTATGTATATTTGTGAGGAAAGCATCTTCTTTTTCATTGGCTTTAGTTATTCACATTGACATTCAATTTAACATGTCTTCATATAGTGCTCTTTAAAACACTTCACATTGCCAAGTCCTAAATGAGCAAGCCTGAGGTTGACAGTGGAAGGAAAAACTCCCTAAGAGGAAGAGGAAGAAACCTTGACTCAAAAGGGGAACTCCTCGTCCTCTGGTCGACACCAAACAATTTTACAACCAGAGCAATAAAGAATAGGGAGAGAAAAGAAGTGGGCTTGTCATTGAACAGAGATATTCAGATTAACCAATAATAGTGTTATTAGTGTTGGAAGCCTGTCAGAGTAACAAATGAGAAATAGATCTATGAAGACCAGTGACCTTACAGTCATTACTGTCACTACTGCAGTCTATAGATCTACATAAACCAGTGTTCACTACATTATTAATTCTCTTTTCATTTTTGTTCTGATTTGTCAGTGAAAGCACCCGGACTGCTTTGCTGCCTTTTGGACATTTTCTGTCTGTGGTATTCAACTGTACACTACAGACGTGGCAGATAGAGATTAGTATGAAAATCACTGGAGTATTCCTTTAACAGTGTCTGTTTCACAGATTGAACTCACAGGAATGAGGAGGTAGTGCTTGGTCTTTAATTTATGACACAGAGACAACACGAAACACTGCGCATGCATCTGGCTGTCCCGAATCAAAAACATCCTGCAGAGAGAGAGAGAGAGAGAGAAAGAGAGAGATTCACATACATATTAAAATCACAGAGCTACATGCATTGCTGTAAAATTCTTTTTCATAAGTTTTTTTTTATATTTTATACGCATGTTTTACAGCTTTACAAAACATTGAAAGTTTCCTCCTGCTGTACCCCCTTTAAGACACAGCCCCCATATGAGACACAGAATCAGACTAAACATGAACATAGGTTAGACACAAAAAAGAGGTGATTGCTTAACTGAAGAGGTTTTTAAGTGCAGTTATTGCCTCTCTTCACATCTGAAGAGTAGCATGTTCTGCTTGATTATCCCTACTTCTAGATAAATATTATGAAGAAGAAATTGTAGCCATCTGCTGCTGTCATGCTAACTAACCAAAGTTTTTGGCTTTCTTTCTTTTTTTGGATACACAAACAATAATGTCTAGCTGAGTACTTACAAATAAATCTGAATGATTTAATTGATTTTAAATAGATTTTTAGTAACACTTGAACCAACTGAAGTAATCAAATGACATGTTTTGTTAATTGAGTGAAAATAAATAAGCTAACAAATCCTCTACAGGGAACAAACTTAAATTTACCATATGTTTTTCAGCAAATTTCTGTGCATAGTTTCTATTTATTTATGTATTTATTTATTTATTTTTTTTTGCTAAGTTTAACATTTTGGAAAAAATAAAACATAAAATACATATGTGCCATAACTTTTGCACAAGCCTTGTTCTGTTTTATTTTTTCCAGCATGTTAAATTCAGCAAATAAACAGTAATCATGCATTTAAAATGGGCAGAACTGTGTTCTCTGTAGAGGATGTGTTAACTTATTTTCACTTATAAAATCAACAAAACATGTAATTTGATCAGGGGCGCCCAAACTTTTGCATTGGACTGCAAGAGCATTGTCCAAAGGAAGGTGGACATTGCTTATGGTAGACGTTAACTAAGCCCAGAATCACTGTACATTGCTGTAAAGTTCTGTATGTTGACCACCAGGGGACGGGGTTAAAGGTCATTCTTACCCATCCACCTGACCCTGCTCCTCCAAAAGCCTCTCAGCTTCAGACCGGGATACGCCACCATGGAACCAAGGCTGAATCTGATGCACAGCTACAGACAAAAATAAAAGACAAACACAATAGTAATTATACTGCATGCACTTAGAACTCTTTGGGCCTATATGTGGGAACTGGCTGAAAGCTGTAGTGCAGCACTGTAGTGTGAACGGCTTGTGAGACTCACCAGTAGGTCGTGATCCCTGACTGTTGCTTGGTAGGCTGTAGCGTAGCGCCTCTCTCTTCTGTAAAAAACATAAAAATGTCTCTGAAACTGTTCACAAATACTATCCACTTTATTAGAAACCCCTACCTTTTACCTCCACCCACTGACCACCTTATAGCTACCTACCTTTTAGCTGCACTATACAGATGTACAGTTACAGACTGTAGCTTATCTCTTGCTGCACAACTCATGAGCCACCCTCTACCTCAGGGGTGCACAACTGTTTCATCAATAAATTAAATGCCTGCCTGTATTTCAGCTAACAATTCAGCAAAAAGATATAGCCTTATATATGTTGTCATCATTATTTTATTTATTGACATTTCATTTTATTTTCATAATATTAAAATACATGTTTTGTTACCAGAAGTACTACAAAAATTTAATTTAAAAGAAAAAGAGGCTAAAAATTAAAAGTTGTATAAAAGTGTGTGTCCTATGTTTATGTGTCCTAAGTGTGTGTCCTATGTTTAGAGTTAGACAACCTCCAGGCAGGCCAAATCAAATGTTCTTGTGGGTCAATGTTTGCTCAAAGGCCCAACTTTGGGCAACACTGCTCTACCCCAATTGATCACTGGTCAGTTTCTGCCCACAGAACTGCTTTTACCTTACATTATTTGAAAAGTTCTCACCACAACAGTGACTTCATGGTAGTGTGTATGTTGCAGGTACAAGTGTATGTGTATGCACCACTGTATATATACACAGTTCTATACAAAAGTCAGAGACCCCCTCCATTAATTTAATTTCCAGTCAAACCAGGCATTAAGTACAAGTTATTTGTTTTTCAGGAGATATTTCTGAGGAGATTAGATGTAAGATAATCTAGTTGCACAAGGAAGGGAAAAGTCAAATGAAAACAAAGTGAAAAATTGGAGTTTCCAAGAACTGGAGTTCTTGAAAGAAACAGAGGAAATGGAACTACTAACAATTGTGCAAGACTCCGCAGACCACCAAAACTGTCACTATCAGATAAACAGCAAAAGCTTTCATCTTTGATAGAAAGTCAGGCTCCATTCTTTCTTCAGATGTGAAAAAGTCCACAGGTGTTTTAGTCCATCCTTTCACTGTGAGAAGACAACTCAACACTATGAATCTGAAAAGTTGTGTATCTATCAAGAATCTGTTACTGAGAAAAGGAAATCTGTAGCTGCTGGTGTTCTCAGAACAATGGACCAACCACCCCAGAGTCCAGACCTTAACATCACTGAATGTGTTTGGGATTACTTGGATCCTGAGAAGCTGAAAATGCAACCAACTTCTAAGACTGAACTTTGGAGGTGTGGAAAAATCTCCCTGCACAGTTCTCTGAAAAACTGAAAGCAAGTCTCCTGAAAAGAATGGAAGCTGTTATAAAGGCAAAGAGTAAACACACTAAATACTGAATTTTTTGATATTTAGTTACTGAAATGTCTGTGTAATTTTGCATTGAATATTTTTTACTGATGTTGAAAAATGAAAACCTTGTATCTAATGACCGTTTTGACTGGACATACAACCAAATGAAGCAGAAGATGGTCTTACGGAAGACCATCAGTAAGATACAAGTACACAAGCACACACACTCACCCTCCAATTGTAGCCTTCCTCCTGTTCTGCACTCTGAGCCTCTTGAGGGTTCAGGATGACTCGTCCTCCACTCTTCCCTGAGAAATCCATTGCTACCATTGACTCCTCACCCTCCTTCCACTGTAAGCCCAGACGAATAAATCAGAAACAGACGAGTGGAAGAGGAGACAGAATTTTAAAAGGCTGACCAAACCCGTGAACGGGAAAAATATTGCGAAAAGAGAAAACGGCACGGTTGTCAACATGTCAGATCTGTGGAGGATAACTGTTAAGAGTGTGAAGTTTTGCAGCAAACATTTGTGCCTGTTTCCAAATATTGGGTGTCCCACCCCAAAGCAGGGTGGGAAATGTTGCTGTTCCTTGGTGATTTGTTGTGGTGGGATTTGTATTTAGAATCTGTGCTTGCGCTGCTTGTGTATGTGTGTACCTTGGTGTCTTTTCGTGGAGGGATCTGTAGTTTGGGACTTGTCTGTGATAACAGGTAATTACACTGAAGCTGCTTCCCATACTGAAACACAAACGCACACACAGAGTCACGAAACAGATAGTTAAAAACTATCTACACCAAGGGTACTGAATCCTGCTCCCATGGAGGTCTGGGTACCCCTGATCTATGCTCACTTTATTAGAAACTCCTACATTGTGGATCCACCTTGCTGGTGTTAGAGGGTGTAGCCCATCTGTTGGTGTACAGTTTATCTTAGCCATAAACTGTCCTTTCATCAGCAGTCAGTTGACCGACCGCAGAGCATCTCTTGGATGGATATTTTTGGGTGGTGGCCACTTTCAGCCTAGCGGTGACACTGACACTGATGGCTCTTTAGATCAATGTTGGATCCCAACTGGCAATGTATTATTTTTATTAAGATAAACCAAATGTGTAGATGTTATGAGGCTGTAGCTGAAAATCACAGAGCCCCCACCTAGATCTGCCTGAAACATCCTGGCATCATAAGTACCAAATTCACGACAATGTTTTTTTAAATTTGTTTTTGGCTTTTTGAAAAAGACATACTCAACTGCATCTTTTCACCGCAACTAGAGTCTTAAATTAAAACACTGGCTGAAACAACAGCTGCTAATAGAGGGCAGAGAAAAAGAAGGTGGAGCTTGGCAGAAAGCCATTGATTGGCCATCATCTTAAAAAGGCAGCTTAATGAATGTCCTGTCCCCATTTGACTCAGTGGACCTATGATTAGTCAGGCCCACCCAGGCATACCTATGGCTACAACCTGGCTATAAGTCAGAAGGAGCTTATAAAGTAGAGGTACAAGGTAGGTGTTTTCAATAAAGTGGACAGTGAGTTTACGGCAATATTTTTTCAACATTACATAAGAGAAAGGATAAAACCAGGTGACACTGCTACAATGTTGTGTCTTTACCTTGAACACTCTGAAGGCCGTAATCCAGCAGGTTCTGCACTGTTCATTTTCTGCACACAGCAGCTTAAGATCCTGAGAACGAAATCTGTCTCTACAAGACTGAAACACAGACAAAACAAAACACATGAAGACAAGTACAATAGCCCCAAAACGTATTTGGACAATTTAACCAACCACATTGCACTAAGGGAGGTGGAAAAGTGAAAGTCTGGAGCTGTTTTTTCTTGCAATGATGTTGTGCTAACTTAAACATGATTTTTAGTATTGTACATGAGGTTTGAGACACAGCCACAGAGTGCACCTGCTCCACAATTGGAAACCCTTACCCATTGGGTGTGACATGATCACTGGACAATGGGAGCTGGACTTCAGTCTGACTAACCAGAGACGCATTGCCAATATTGTCAGGTTATAATCCAGATACTAGTCACATGAATCAACCAGGTGCAAACAGGGTCAAAGTCTAGGGTTGTTTTTCTTACAATGGTGTCAGTGAGCTTGCGTTCACTGATGGGGTCATGAACTCAGAAGTGTACAAAGGCATTTCAGATGCAAACCTGCAGAAGTCTGCAGAAGAAATGATAGCACAAAAAGCACAAATGATAGCAATCTGAAACACACCAGTCGCCTTTTGAAAGGTCCTGGAATGGTCTGTTTAAAATAAATGTGGTTTGATATGTTGCTTTCTAACACAGTGAACATTTTGAAAATATGGCAAAAATGTACAAATATTTTTGAGACCAAGTAACATATCTTGGAGAAATATGCAAATGAAGATGAAAGGTGTTGAACATAAACACTGTAGGTTTGGCACTATCAGTCTGTTTATCTGTTTGGATATCATATTGAATCAATGTTACTGGTGACATAAATACGTTACCTTGATGCAAAAGGTGTGCACTTTAGGAGAGCTGTAGAGTTTTCGACTGTTGCACACTGTATACACACTGAGATCCTCCAGATCAGCTACACACTGAAGATGCCGAGGTTCCTAAACACACATATACACATATGTACAGAGTTGTATGCAAATGTTTGCACCCCCAGTCAAATTACATTTTCTAAGTGAAAATATGTTAAAACAAAGGGTTGCCAAGTTTGGGATTTTCCCAGCAATTACGATCAGGCGTTTTTGAAAATGCAGTCACGGTTGAAAAATTTCACAGTCTGTGGTGTTTTGGACTACTTTTGAAATGTGCCATAGCCACCAAAAAGGTTTACTGCAGACAGTAGAAAATGACAATGCATTGTCTAATGAGTGTATATTCATCTTGGTCTTAAATAGCTGGAAACTTAAAGACAGTAAGGATTTATCTTCACAGCAAGAGTGTTTTTGGCGTTGGTTAAAGGAAAACAGTTTTGGTCCCTGACTTCTTACTGCACTCCAGCTATTGCATGGATTGTTAAATTCCTTCAGCAGCCCACCTGATTTAATTTAATAAAGCTACTAGGGCTGAATCTCAAGTGACTCCCTACTGTGAAATTTTGGCTTCTTCACACAATTAGTGCAGTATATATTCGGTATGTAGCTGTGTGCATGTGACTGAATCCTACATGGCTCTTTGTTTGGGTGCAGCGATTCTGGGGGCCTGGGCAAAAAAATCAGGAATGGGGCCCTCTGGATGTACATTTTTAAATCAGTAATGCAGCTGTCTACACTGCAAGTGAAATCATCTTAAATTCTGTCATTATAGCCAATACTTCTCATTTTGGCATTGCTGTAAAAATAATATAAGATTATTTAATATATTTCTAGATGTTTTATTAATGGAAATTATCTTACTATATTGGAATTATCTTACTATAATTTGGCATGAAGTAATGAAGAAGTAATGAATGATGAGATTGCTTTTTTTTCCAGGAAGTAATAAGTAATGTAATCTCGTTGTAGTTTGAGAAGCTAGTGTAGTTTTTGCTTTCCTCCCTCTTTTTGCATTTCTTTGCTACACTAGTGTAAATTTATTAGATTTTCCCTCTAAAAACACAGAAAATCAGACATTACAAATACTGAAAATAATTGTTGTTTTTAAAAATACAGATACAGTTTAGAATAGATTATGTGACAACAATACATACCTTATATCAAATTTGTATTTTCATGGGGCCCTTGGCTCATGAGGCCCCTGGCCCATGTGAGCCCTAGGCAGCTGCCTACCTTTGCCAAAGGCAAAGACCACCCCAGTGAAACAGTGTGTGTGTATGTGTGTGTGTGTGTGTGTGTGTGTGTGTGTTTATGTTTTCAGACCTTAGATGACCCCTTGCTGGAACAGTAGAGTCCAGATCGTCGTAAAATGAAGTAAAGTTTTTTCCAGGACTTCTTCCCTGCTTCTCTAACATGTAGATAGCCCTGAATTTCTGGACATGAACCGCACTTCAGCATACTCTACACACACACAGACAAATACAAAAAGTGAGAATGAGCTAAAATGACAGGCACACACAAACAGTCAACCTAGTGCTTAGAAAAGGGACATTATGTGTGTTATTAAACATGTTTTCTAAATACCAACCTGGATGAGCTGAGACGAGCTGATATCCGCCTTGGCATCAGTGCTGTCCGAGATCATGTTCTCTGGGAAATATTGCTGCATAAATGAAACAAGGAAATTGTTACAAAAGTGGCCACATACACATTAGGCATTGTGTAGGCCAGTAATTTGTTAGTGAATAGGTCAGAGACAAATAAAATATGCACAATTTTCCCCTTATATCAAACATAATCAATCAGCCAAGACATGCTTGGTGTCTGAAGTAGCTATGAGGCTTATGTAGCTAAGAATAATGGAAACTTATACCCCACAAAGCAAAGTCACTACATTATGGACAAAGATTACTGAAAAAGGAAGAATTGTATCCTTTAAATGGTATTGTATGATGGATCATGCATAGCCTCTTTTTTTGCAGAATCTTCAAACCAACTCATATAATTTTAATCTACATAATGAATCAAATTTCTTGGAACTATTTTATCAGAACACTGTTGGCTGACTGTATACAAAATGTATATATACAGTGTGGCCCAAAAAAATTGACATCATTTCGTAGTCTAATAACATAGCCAATTCTCCCTCAAATGATCTCAAATTTTAACAAACTACATCCCTCTGAATTTCTTGTTTGAATTTTGATAAATAAATCTTGTATTGTTCAACAAGCCTATTTAATTTTGTTTGCCTAGGACATGAAGTTACTCAGATATTCACATCTCAAATGATGTAATTTTTTTTGGACACCCTCTGTGTGTGTGTGTATATGTATATATATATATATATATATATATATATATATATATATATATATATATATATATATATAATGAAAATCCAGTTTGCTTCCAGTTTTGTAAATATACTTATCTCTGCTGAAATATTTTCCATGAAAGTTACTGAAGAAAAAATTCAATTGCAGGACTCCAAAATGGAAGAAACTGTATTTTTGTGACCAGGGACATGAACAACTTAAAACAATTTAAAAAGGTCCATTTTGATTTCAGTTTGGCTTTTAATGGTCTGTAACTCAGTGTAGAAGCTCTGTGACAAAACAGCTTTTTTTCTGATCAAATTCTTGATGAAATTTGGAAAAACCCCAGTATAGATCAAATAGATGTGTAGCTTATGTAATGGTGTCTATGGCATAGTTTTGGTTTATAAGGTTCGGCATGGCTGAACTCATCCAAACCCCTTCCCCCTTCACACAGACGGATTGACAGGAGCATGGAGATTAAGAGGAGGTGACAGGCTGTCACGTTACATGAGAGCACTGAAATAACTGAAACGACTGCCTATTTGGAAGTACAGTAAAGTGTGAAAGTGCTCAAGGTTATTCAGAATGAGCGTGTTATTCTGAAGTGAGAGACAGAGAATGCATTTATAGTGACTGTAACAGTAATGATGAAAGCAGATATTTTTATCTGTGGTTCCATGTGGTGAAAGGTTATTAATACCAACAACAAGAGGAGCATCTCTGTTCATACCGCTGGTTTTTTGAAGAACTCGTACTTGGCGTAGTTTTTGCGAAAGAGCAGTTTGGTGTCGCCACCTTGTGGCCAGGAGGACTGCACCTGCACCAGCACTTCATGGTCCTCCAGGCAGCGTTCTAAAACAAAACAATGAGCCCCATGAGCACATAAACACACAAACGAAAACACACACATATATATATATATATATATATATATATATATATATATATATATTTTAAATTGTGTAATTCACAACTTAGGATCACTGACTTCTCAGAGTGTGATGCGTTCAGCAAAAAGTGACTGTCAGAGACTGACCAGTGATTAAGGACTAGAAGGTGACTAATACAACAGTGTATTCCCTGCTGGAAAAATCAGTACATACCAGCATAAGTTCCAGGTTTATGCTGGTTTATACCGGTCTAGTGCAGGGTTAGAGTATCTAGAACGTACACAGAGTATCTAAAACGCAACATATGCTAGTTTTGCTGGCGAACGACATTTTAGTTTACGTTGCCGCTGACCAGCAGACCAGCATCCAAAACACAACATATGCACTGTATACCTCTGGCATTAACATGTGTCCTGGAGGACCGATCATAAGTGGACAGCAGAAGGTGAAGGTGTAAACTGTACACCGGCAAGGTGGAGCTAGGTAGGGGTTTCTAATGAAGTGGCCAGTGAGCACTGAAAGCCCAGTATAAGCATAATACAACTGATTATAAATTAGCCAGATACAGTATAATCTATAATACAGCAAAAATATTCTGTGTAAACCAGGAAATTTCATCTAATCTGGCCAAATCTATCCCTATAGATTAAACCAGTTTCTCCAACATAAATATACTCTAGGTCAGTTTTTTCTGCACAGCGATTAAGGGTAGTCCTGGACTACACATAAAAATACAGGGTATGGGCCCTTTGAAACCCTTCATTTGCAGCAGACACGCAGACGTCCAGACACTTTAAGACACAGTATTGCAGAAACAGTGCAATCCAGACTTACCCAGTCCTAGTGCAGGGTGCTGCTCAATTAGAGCCCAGTTCTCTTGGTCTGTGCAATGAGCTGCCTGCACCAGAATATGACACACGTCCCGCACCGTTGCCCCCGACGATACCAGCACTGAACGACTGTGAGTGTCCTCTCCAAACACTCTCACCACCTACACGCAAACAAACAAAGCTACGTAAAGAACATGATCTGAATTGAGTTCTTACTGTGATCACATACACTTACTCAGAAATGATTACAGTACGTACACTCACAGTGCAGTATATTACAGTAGTATCATGAAGCTTAAAGGCATAGCAACATGAGGCTTCTTTTAAATAGTGATAGAAAATACAGTAACAGACTTTAAGCTGCTCCACACACTGATACAATTTAACTAGAAAGAACATACATGAATGACAACTACTCTGGGGGGGCAGATTTTAAAGGGGAATTCCAACGATTTTTCAACCTTTCTGCATAATTCAATATTTTAGATGTAAATAAACTAATTTAGACTGCTTTGATGTGGAATGGCTCATTGTGGAGAAAGGTACAAACTCAGATTTCTTTACAGTGGTGGTGATAGGTATTGCCATTCTATTTATTATGCAAAACTACCAGTGAATCTATACGTCTTCTGAGCTTTTACAGTTTAAGTGATGTTGATAATGGTAAAATACGATTTCTTTGGAACGTGTTGTCTTATATCATTAAAGGATTTTTGAAAATATACAGTCCAATATATTTTAGGCCAAAATCCTATCTTAAAACTATTGTAACTCAATGTCTCAGGCATCAGGCATTGCATTCATAACCAACTTCTGAACTTTTTTGTAACGTAGCTATCACAGGCATTAAATGCTTCAGACGTCTGATTCCTGTTACCACCACTGCGAATAATTCTGACTCATTAAGTTTCTCTATATTAGAGCATTTCATATCAAATCACTCTAGATTTAATTACACAGAAAACAGTGGAATTCAGTGAGTTAAAGGAGACTGAGCTAAAGTCTCTGAATGTATCACTGACAGCAGCCAGGAATTGGTCAACATGACTTCTGAAGACACTCAAGAATCACACAAAATCACAAGCTCAACTTCCGTCTGACACTCTTCACCTCGCTTTTTTCTGTCCTCTTTGTGACGTAGATTTATGAGAGACAGAAATGCCTCAATCTCATTTCTTTTGTTTGTCATTGTGTAACAAGAATTATGAGCACAAAAAGGACAGAGAGATGGGTGGATGGGAGGGAATCTTTTTGCTGTCTTGAGTCTTTCAGTGAGATGATTATTTAATAATGGCACTTAATACATGTTTTGTGGACTTTCTTGTGGAACACAATGACAAAAGCGTCTTATATATATTCTCTGTGCATGATTGTTCATCATTACTGGGGTAATTTAGGATAAATACGTTTCACTTACAGTGATACATATGCTATTTTTAAAAAGCAGCCTTTTTAGTTTATCTTTTCTTGAGATTTTTTAATTGCTTTTGTACATGCACACACTGTATGTGTCCAAAGGTATGCGGAAACTCCACCTAATTAGTGAACTCAGTGACTTTAAGGTGCACCCACTGCTGACACAGGTGTTCAGCTGCACACACAGCTTGTATAATCTCCATAAAAATTTCTAATGCATGGCTAACACAATGGGATGCTCTCGAGCAGCTGCACATGAGCCTAAGCTCACCATGACCAATGGCAAGCATCAGCTACAGGGTTTAAAGCCCCCGCAACGTAGGCTGTGGAGTGATGGAGGTCCATCTGATACCTCTGGGATGACCTGGCGTGGCAGTTGTGGTAGTCCTCTTCCCAGAAGAATAGCAGCTGTTACTGCAGCACAAGGGGACAAACCCCCTATTAATGTCCTTGGTTTCAGAACAAAAACTTAAATGAGCAGGTGTCTACATAACCTTTGGACAATATGTTTTGCTGAACTACAATTCCTTGTTTAGTATAAGAAAATATTTATTTTTAATTACTATAATAAAACTACTTTTATTATAAGAAGATTATTGATTAAGTTCTACTATAATAAATCTCATTGTATTGTTATAATAAGTTATTTAGGAGTTACTATTAAAATAAAAACAAGTTTATTATTATAAAAGCAATTGTTTTACAAATGATTTTACATTCATAAGAAATTCTAATAATACCTTTGCTCTTACAATAATGTTTACTTTATTATAATAAAAATATTTTATCATTACAGTTTTTATATTCTTATAAGAAAATGACAATTATAATAAAATTATGTGCTGAATTGTAATAAACTATTATAAAGTGAATAAATATAATATTATTATAAAAACATTTCTATTATAATAATATACTTCTGTATATTAAATACAAATTTTAATTTAGTGAAATGTCATAAAATGTAATACAATTATTTCCTTTTCTATCGTAAAACCTTTTTTTGTGATATTACTTTTGAAAGTACATTTTTATTTCCTACTTTACTGTTATATTCTGTTCTCTTATGCTTGTTCTTTATTTGTTCTTTCTTTGTAAAGTATGTTAATCTGCATTTCAATATTTAAAAGCTGCTATATGAATAAGCTGTTGTTGTTGTTGCTGCTGTTTTTGTTTGAGAGAGAGAAAGAGAAAGACAGACAGAAAGAAGCTCCCCTGTTCAAACTAGATGAACTAGTATTCCTGAGCTGTCAATCAAACACTCTCAGACACATAGAGAGACAATAACTCAAAACACACATGCCTCCGTACACACTTACTCACACACTGAAACGTAACCAGTTCCTCCGGCTGAGTGAACTGTGTGCGTGTGTCTGAGTGACATCTTTCGTGCGATATGAAGGTCGCATTTATATTTAATGCCATGCTGGGTGTGTTTGAGTGTGTGTAGAGAAGTAGCGCAGAAAAACAATGCCCTCAGGGGTGTGTCATGTGTGTGTGTGTGTGTGTGTGCGTGTGTGTGTGTGTGTGTGTGTGTGATTGGAACAGTTTGTTTTGCCCAAAGTCTGACCTGGCACAGTCTCCTTATTGTGCCTACTGTCGACTTTTATTACCGTGGGCAACCGCCGTTCACCTAGACCACAGACTGTTTATGTATGTATGGCTGCATGTATGTGTGTATTTCCCTTGCAGCTACACGATAAGGTCACCTCTAAACTGTACCAAACATCACTGGAGCCATTTGCTTTTAAATTAGCCTACAATCATGAATTTATCAACATAAAATAGTTTACTTTAGTCACAGTTTGTTGATGGATCGCATTCAGAGAGATTTTCTTATGAGATACTGAAAACAGAAGCAAAAGAACATTTTAACAACTTAAGGATCTGAATTTTACCTAGATCATTTCCAAAGCACAGTAAATCATTTCCAAAGCACTGAACATCTCTTGGCATTCAGTGGGGTCAGACATACACGAATAATGCACATCTCATTTATGATTTTTACTTTACATTACATTGTAGATAAATATTAAGCCACATTCAAACAGAAATTTATAAATCTATAGGGTTGTATATGTCTCATGTAGCAAGACTTTCTTTCCTTCTTTCTGTCTATCTATCTATCTGTCTATCTAGCTAGCTAGCTAGCTAGCAAAATGTCTGTACTGTCTCTAAACGTACTTGCTGGACAGTGAGGACACTTCTTACAGTAATTTGAGGGTCTAAAGCTGTGAATGCCATTAACGGCATCTCATTAATTTAGATAAAGGCAAGGTCCACTTACATGAGTGTCTTCCTCAGAGGTTCTGGCATTTCCCACTAGGGAGCCAACCCGAACTGGGGAGTGGGAGGGACTGCAGAGTTCAGGGAAGGGATTAGGTATGGAGGGCATAGATGAAGGTCTGAGTTCTCCTTTAGAGCTGTAAAAAAAGAAAAATGATGTTCAACAATAACAATTACTTAGTTAAATACACAAATACCCAGAGACTGGGGGACCCTACACTTTTAGAAATAAAGGTACTGTGCAGTTACATTTTTCATTCATCAAGGTACAAACAATGTAAACATGCCCTCATAGGTACAACAGTGGTTTTAAGGCCCAGTTGAATAAGTTTTTTCCAGGTGAAAAGTACGTATTTGGTACAGTTATGTTCCCTGACTAAAGGTACTGAGATGTACCCTTGAGGGTACCATCCCAGTGACAAGAGGGATACCACCCCAGTGACAAGAGGGGTACCGCCCCAGTGACAGTTTTGTACTTTTATTTCTGAGAGTGTAGAGTTAAAGGAATGCTTGAGCCAAAAATCTAACTAACGATTTTCCCCTTACCACAAATATAGTTAATTAGCCAAGACATGTTGCTAGCTGGAAGCTACAAACCAGAGCTAGTTTAAGGGGAGCCAGGCCAGTTCGTATCTCTCCCATTATATAAAAAATATGACTGCAAAATGCCATAAAGGCGCCCATAAACAAGTCCTTGATAAATGGTGTGAAGCTTCTTACACTGTAAACATGTTTTGGGCAGTAGGATGCTAACAACACTGCTATTGAGTTCTGACTGGTTGGCGAGCTGATCAGCTCATTGGCTGAATACAGTGGTTCATACTCACTGATGTCATGAATAAGTCAGAAAGTGTTAGAAAGTCCTATGACTGACGTGCAAACTTAGCTTAGAAATATAACAGTGGTGTTGAAGTATTTTATGCTGTTCTCCATCTAAATATGATTTATCATTTTCAGACTATGATTTTGTTCAATATCCATTTAGACTCACTTGGGAATGTCCTCTAGCATCTTGGAAGGCATTTTCGAGTGGCCGTTCTCTTCACTACACATTCTCTAATATAAACTTCCATGACTTGTCAGCTACATTCACCTCATAGCTCCAGTACAAAACTAAAGAGGAACATATCGGACACCAGACACGTCTTGGCTGATTTAGGCTATGGTGGAACTTGACCAAACTCTTGCTTTAAGGTTCTATGAAATGAAGGTTGAACAAAGACAAAAATGTTGACCTTTGACATTAATGTACTTATAATAAAGAAAACTTGTAATAAAGAAAAAAGGGCAGGAGGAGAAGTACTTGAGGCTGTTCCTGATGGCCAGGGGCCGTGATCGTGGTGTGAATTGATGCATGGACATCAGGGCACTCTTGGCTGGAGACACTCTTGGCTCGTCTCTGACAATCGTCTCAGCCACAGTGTCCTTGAAAACCTCCGTCCAGCGGCGGTCCACCTGCATCGCTCTACAGGCTCTACAGCGAGAGAAAGAGAGAGAGAGAGAGAGATCAAGAGAGGGGAAATGAGGCTAAATCTTTGTTCATGAGACTGCATCTGATATTGATCAGCCATGATTAAAGGGTGCTCATTCCAACTGATTTGCACATATTGAAAAGAATAATTCAGTACTGCTTTTTAGGATACGGATTAGAAAAGGAGAAGCTAGTGCTGTTATTCTCAAACATATTCTAGTGACACTAAAACCAGCAGTTTAGCTCCACCTATTCACAAAGAAGTTATAAAGAGTGTTTCATCCAGTGCTGCCAATCAGAACAAAGATCACTTAGATATATTAGTCTTAAAAGCACAGAAACAAAAACAGTCTGTTTAACTGTAAGGGATAAAGAGAGGTTTAAAAAAAATCATTAGCACAAAAAAATGTAGCACAAAAAATGTAGAATATGGGCCCTTAATAAATTGCAAGCAGGTCTGGTTCCAGAACAAAATCACTGAAGATGTATCAGAAATAAATGGACTAGAAAGGTGTGTTTGTCTACGATAGTAAGCTTACTTGATATGTTAGATTAATTTCCTTAATGTTAGCAAACATCCAATATGCTAACAACAGATGATGCTAACTGCAGTGCAATACACTGTCACTGTGTAGGTTAATTAGTCTTTATACTACCCAACCGGAGCTGTTCTACGTACCTAAACAGTTATGGCATACTACGGCCCTGGTCTTAGGAAGGAGTTAAGTCAAAATGTATTTTTCCCATAGCTTAACTGAGGGTGCAAAATTCCAACAAATCATCTGGTGCAGATGTGCCAAGGCTTTGCAGTGCCACTAATTCTATTTTGGTGTTAAAAAGTGCCTGTTGTGCTTTACTAATTAGGTGCAATGCCCCTTAATACCAATTATAAGATCAACAGGGTGCTCACTGCTCTTATTGTATATACATTTATAGGTGTTTCCTTCTTAAAGCCCAAAAATACTGCTTGAAACAGAAAGTTAAAATAATTACTTTTTTTCATCTTCATTTTCTGTTGTAACATTTCAAAAGAATGTTTTATTTTCTTAAATACTTTGAAGAGTCATTTTTCAAGCTAGCCATTATTTTGACCTCGGTCTAAATCTTGAGAAAATAAGTAATTTTTCCACCTAGTGAGTCACAATTTGAACCTGAAATAGATGGAAACCTGGCGAAAATGGTTTTTCATGCAAAATGCACACAAGCAAAACATGTGGTTATATTGTGCTGGTCATCTGTTAATTGTGAAGTTGCGGTTATGGTCATTTTCATTGAAGTTTTTAGTACACACGCCGCTAAACTGGATACCGGCGAGGTATAACAAAAGACTGTCCGAAATCGGCACTTCTCTTAGTAAATCTGACCTTTCGATGCAATGCAGCCCAATCACTTAGCATAATGTTTCTTCTGTTTCCTTGAAAAGTTCAGCCAAAGTTAATCCTTCAGATCTAGAGTTTTATACTTCAGATCAAAGATCAAAACAAGAAAAACAGACTCTCTGCCAAGAACAACAGCCGAGTGTGTCTGGTGTCACACCTTGCCGGAGCGTTTGTCATTAATCCCACACGGTTACGCTACGGAAAATCACACAAGCCAATCAGACAGACCAATCAGGCCAGGCGACTGAGCAGCACACCAGGAAACTGGCACACACACAGTCATGCATCAACAAGTTATCTCACAAACACACAAACACACTCAGACAGACGTCGACACAGACTGTAACAACTGACTGACACATTGCCAGAAGGAAGAGAAAAACAATTCTAATATCCTCATCAGTCTCGTCTCATTAGTCACAGTTACAGATGGTACAATATCATGTTTTCCTTTCCAATACCGATACTGAAACCTTGAGTATTGGCTGAAAATATGAATATTTTCTTTAAAAGCTACAAAGCTTTAAAATGAGCATTTTTTTATTGAATTGCTTTACTTAAGATGAATATCTAAAAGCAGACTATTATGCTCTCAACTACTCAAACACTCTACTAGCCCAGAGAAAGAAATACACAGCTACCAACACCACATCACACAGCGTAGGTGTGTGCTATTTCAGGGCAGATTTGGTACAGGACTGGATCACATTCATTCTTTCTTTCCCCTCTGATATCCAATCTAGAATTTTCTGCTGATATCGGCCACGGTACTGACACCCATCATGCCTCTAATCATAGTGGATAAAATGAGAATTCAATTCCAATTATTTAAAAAATTCTAAAAAATTATTAAATATTTAAGATTTAATCAAAGTCCTTCAGAGTGATTTGATTTGAAATGTCCTTTACTAAGGAAACTTTGCACTTCAGAACTGTTCACAGTGATGGTGGTAGGAACCATGGGGTTGTAATGTCTACACCACAAATATAGCCATTTTAATTACTATCCAAAACCACCAGTTAGCTTATGTCTATGTTTTGATGGTTTCAAAGCTGAAAAAATGTTTTCTTTGGGGAATATTTTGGCTGCATGTACATCTCCACCATGAATGGATTTGAAGAGGTTTTAGGCCCAAACCTTATAGCAAACAGCAAATCTATAGCAAATCTACCCTATTATAAATGTATAAATGTAATTACATGTAATAGCGTTCTGTGATGTAGCTTTTTAGAGATGTCTGGTTCATATAACCACCACTGTGAACAATGATTTTTGCTCAGGTTTTGAAAAATCAGTTTAAGTCCCTTTTAATTGGAGAACCACGTCTGATCAAACGGCCTTTTCTAAATCAACACCAGATTAATTAATTTTAATTTTAAATTCATTTTAGTTGTTTAGTCATTGCTTGCACAGTTATAATATAATATAATTAATATAATCATAATATAATGAATTAACTTTAAAAAGTGGCCTTAAAATTTTGAGTTCATTGAAACTCCAGTAGTAGATTAATGTAAAGGTTACCTCACTGAAATATTGAGGTGGCATAAAAAAGAAAAATGCCACAAAAGGCAGCTTTTTTTCAACAATGTATAAGATTGATAGGTGACTTTGTATAGGCACAAAAGCCTGATCATGTACATCCACTACTCAGGGAGGCTCAAAGGAGGATGAATTCTCCTTTTGAGTCTCGGGTTCCTCTCAGTGTTTCTTCCTCATGCTCTCAAGAAGTTTTCCTGTACTCAGCTTATTTATTGGGGCTTGTATTCCTGGAAAGCTCATCTGGGGCGATGCATGTTGTGAAGCGCTCTTTAGAAATACAATTGAATGGCACTGTTTGCCAGGATCTGCAGCCAATTCATTCTTCATAGAGGTCAGAAGGTTGTCAGCATAGGCCTCCCAGACAAACTGGATGGAAGTACTTTTCACAGTTCCACAGGATGATGTCATTTTGTCAATAAGGTAAACAGAAAGTGCAAGACTCATAAAGCCATTGTCCTGGAACAAGACTGATACTGGCATGCCTGTAACAATGAAGGGTAACTACAGGTGCTGCTCAGTAGCAGAAAACAATCAGCCAACATGAAAGAGGTGATTGTTCAGGTGTGTATGAACTCAGCTAAGAGGATATCTTGAAAAACACTAAATTTAAAAAACCTCAATACTATATGGCAGCAGAGGAAGTTTTTCATGGACCTAATGAATGAGAGCTGAGACTGAAGTTATATTCCTGTAGGTATTAAAAATGATAAAAAGGTTCATCTCTAATCTCTTAATAACACACTAAATCCACCAGTAGTGGCGCACTGAAAAAAAAAAAAACTATGACAATTATTTTATTTAGTGTTTCACATACTCACTAGAATTTTGTAATGAAAAATAATGCTGCTGTTTTGAAAAACTCTTGTCTTAATTGTTTTTTGCTTACATTGAAAACTCCAGTTAACCAATGAATCAAAAATACTTAAAAAAAATTGTGACAAACGTCCATTACAAGTTAAGAATGTTTTTTGCTTCTCCTAAAAAAACTGGAGATATGAGATTTTGTTCTGACAGTGATGATACAAAAACATATTGTTCTATACTGTGATGTAATTTATCATGCTAAAATACTGTCATATTGCACACCCCTACTGACAGGTCAGAAATTTACACCTGTAATAGTTTCAAAAGCCTTCAAAGGTACCAACATACAAACTCAAATGGCCACAAGAGTATTCTGAGGATTCTGTTGGCTTCATGAAGAACCATGAAAAACTCCTAGCATATCTGTGAAAGAGGCACAGAAATCTAAAGCAATAACATTTTATTCAGACTAAGTCTATAAAGGGCTTCAAACAAACCACCACAAAGCTCTGCCCAAGCTCTTTCACAATAATGACCTGAACCTGAACCTGTAACTGAAAAACCTCTCACAGTACCCAACTGTAGGCCTGATTAGTTACATTTTGAGGCTAAAATGAAATGAAAGGTGGCAGGTTTCCAGTGTAAAGTGAACGTACCGTGAGTGCTCAGGGTGTCCTGTGTGGCATTCCCACTGCTGGCGTGAGGAAGATCCTGTTGGTTGTGTGTGATTTCACTGGTTTCGCTTGCTGAGGGCACGCCTTGCCTGTAGGGGCGTGACGAGAGTGTCAGCAGGTGAACTGGTGAGGTGTTCAATCACTGGATGTCGTCACTCGGAAATCAAAAGGTGAGTAAGCAATAGGAGGGGGCGCCTGGAAAAAAACAGCCTACAAAACAAAGGGCGAATTCAGGTTGAGTGGGACATCAAGAAAAGTGGGACACTTGAGTGAAGGTGTGCCTGTGCTGCTTTTTTCAGCTACTGACAGTACTCTGCTGTTCATGTGAATATGAAAATATGTTGTTTAGATGTTATTGTTTAAATGTTGAATATGAATACGTTACTACCATTCTGCTGCACATGTTTAATATTAAACATTACATTACACTTTTTTGCTGTTTCGTTGTTGGACACTGAATGTTGGACTTTCTCTCTCGTTTCTCAGGAAAAAACCATCCAAAAATGTCCAAGCCTATTTGTTTTTACTCCAGACAAGACAAGGAAGCAACAGTTGAACATCAAACTTCAAAATGTTCTCCTTTAAAACATTTGCTGAAAAGAACGGGCCAGTAACAGATCGCAGGTTCTTCAGTCACTCAGGGACTGTCAGTCATTTAAATATTGTCCACAAAATAGACAATCTGAACAATGTTGTTAGTTCTATTTATTGCAAATTTACATAAAAGAAGACCATACAACATCACTTGTAAAAAGATTGGTCCCTGCCAGGCGCAGTTTTACAAAATTTCCACTTGGTGAATTTTAATGAGTATTTATTTAGGACATAGCTTATATTCTGTCCTTGTTAAGAAATGTTCGGTTTGTAGACTCAAATCAAGTCAAATACAACAAAATGTCTATTTCTTACAATTTAATAAATATTAAAAATGCCTATTGTGTCATGGCTATTAAATATTTCATTTTAATTTTAGATATATTTTCATTAGCCAATTTGATTTACAGGCAAAATATCAGAATGACTTCCTGCAATTTTAGTATGTTTTTCAGTTTCTCAAAGTATCAACCAGTTTAATTTTAACAAATTTTAGGGCTTTTCTCTATTGCAGGGGTGCTCAATCCTGGTCCTGGAAATCTAAACTGCAGAGTTCAGCTTCAGCCCTTATCTAACACGTCTGATCCAGGTATGAAGGCCCTCAGGGCATCTGTGCCAGGTGTGTTGGATCTGAATTCTCCTGTATCACCTGTACATATAGAGACATACAATCTCTTGTTGTAAAGAGATTAAATAAAGAATTTTCAGGACATCACTGTTTTTCAGCTACTATACATTATTGAGCTGTCTATTAGACATACAGACATAGTAAAGAGAATGTCTGCCTCAAAGCACACAACTTCCAGTTTTCCTGATTGTTCACTGGGTAGATGATGAATAACTCTGTACATTTTTCACTGTGTGACATACGTCTAGTATGTCTAGACAGAAATAAAATCAGCCGTAGTAGAAAGAGGACCTCACTAATACCCAACATGTTTGTGACCCTTTGGAATTGCATTTCTACATGAATATTGCCTAAAATACTTCACATTCATTTACCATTAATGATGTTACCTCAGTGTAATAGCAACCAAACGGTGTTGCTGTAGTCAAATCACATTTCCATAGTCAACAAATTTCCTCCATTCCTTCTGATTTGCTAGCGAAAGACATCTGATGTTTTGTACAAGCAACCTCTGAAAAACTAGTCTGCAGGTTTCACACAACACTACCTGCAGACAACACTACCACTATATATATATATATATATATATATATATATATATATATATATATATATATATATGGATATCAAAGGTCAGGCTGTTTGCAGACTAAGTAATGCAGACTAAGTAATGACATTGTACTGTATTTTAAATGGAGTACAAAACTATATATTGACAGCATTTCTGTAACAGTACTGTCATCAATAGTATCTTTTCTAAACATTATGTATATGCACATATTAGTAAATGAGTTAAAACAGCAGTTTTAAAATTATAGTTAAACCACATCTTAAATACATTTTGAACAGTCAGTTATACACAGCTAGATAACTAGTTAGCATTAGCTAGCTAGGCCAATGTTAAAAAAAATTGATGCTGATACTGTTCATTTTATTATTAACTCAACAGAAGAAGCAGCATAACCGTAAAACTCATTTAAAGTATCATACTGGCTTAAACACTCTACACTCCCATGCAAAAAAAAGGGGGCCAAGCCCAAAATGGCAAAACTAAGCTTTTAACGGTCTTAATAACAAATCTTTAGCAAGGATTGAACGCTCAGCAAAAGTAATTTAGTATGTGAAAGCTTTTCCCTTCGCCCATTTTTTACATTTTTGCACAGGAGTGTATATCAATGTAGAAACTACTGAAAAACTTTGCAGTGTAGATTACGACACAGGCATTTATAGCCCAGCCGCCACTTTCCCTACATTTGTAACCTTGTCCTGGAATCCTACAGCACTGCACACTTTGGTGTTTTCCTGCTTGAACACACACGACTCATCAGTCCATTACCAAGCTGCTCCTGAGGGTAAAATGAGCATGTTTGCATTGGGAAACTGGACGACACTAACACAATCACTTACAGGAAACTACTGGAGACTGTAAAGAACAATGGAACAAAACTACTGAAATCTACCAGAATAACATGTTATCTACATCAGTTTATCAGTGCTAGAATCAGCTGAAGACGAGTTGACCTGACCCAGAGATCATGACAATAACACAAACTGAAACAAAAGAGCACTGAAGAAATGTTTTGGTCAAGTTTATCTCCCGTTAGTCTTTTACATCAAGCACAGATGTAACAGACTCAGGCCTTTAATGATTTATCTTGATTATAGGCACTGTGATAAAATATAATTCTGACTGCTTATGCCGTCAAAGGACTCTTCACTGTTGAGTCTTTGGTTTTACAACCTCAGCAGACTCAACTCCAGTTCCACTGCTTTACCAGAAGAAAAAAGAATTCTAAAGATTCCTCTAAATTTCAGCATAATTTAGTCATTGAGAAACAAAATGATTCAGAGTGGTTTGATGTGAGATGGGTTATTGCAAAGAAACTTACCTAAAGCAGATTTCTTTACAATGATAGAGGCCTCCTTTATAACACATTATGTGTACAAATCTAAGTTTTCTGAAAGTGTATGTAGGTCGACCAAGTTTTCAACCTGCTGCACAAATGTTTAGAGTTGCAGAAAAACTCATCCCAAAACTAGTGAAAACACCATAATAGGCATCAGGTGACATTCATAATTCATGTAACAATTTTCTGTGAGGTAGCTTTTAGAGGCACTAAATGCCACAGATGTGGAACAATTGAGTTGATAAGTTCCTCTAGAAAGTTGCATTTCAATCAAACCACTCTGAGTAACTTTGTTTACATCTTAGTGATTTAATTATACAATCTTGAAAAACTGGAATTCTACTTTCAGGAACACATACACAATCTAGAAATGAGCATGAAGGAAACGTGTCATGTTTTGGAGTTTTTAATTCAAATCAAATCCAACAGTTTGTGGAGGGGCTGGGGGGAATGTAGAGTGATCTGAGATTGGGCTTGAGGGCTGTGCCACCACTGGGGAAAGGTAGTGTAGTCAAGAACCCACATTTGGAGTCACATCTCTATTCCCACACCCTCACGCATTCAAAAAAGATACTCCTTAAGTGTAAACCAGGGGTGGGAGGCATTAAAGGCATGATTTTCAAATGATGCAAAGAACAAAGAAGGATGAATAATGATCTTCCGAACCTGATACAGGTTACAATGCCATTTTTCCTTCACACCAGGTTTGGTTTTTTAATTTACTAAAAGTGCACTCGTGGGAAAATGCATGGCCTTTGCACTCCACATGCCCATAATGCCAGTGGCAGATTTAGGTTATTGCCTAGAACAGACCATGCTTAGAAACCTTCATAGTTCACGATCCTTCACGAAAACCATCAGGAAAAGGGGGAGGAAAAAGGAGAGAATGCATGTGCAGAAACTGAAACTTGAGAGCCACTTTACAGTTTTGACAGGTGATTTTGAAGGAAAGCTGTGTATAAGGCACACCAGGGTCATCCCAAATCCAAACAAAGACAGACAGAGGCTTTCTTATATCTACATACAATACACTCTTGCTTACATACATACTTCAAGTAAACATACACTCAAAATCATTCAGAACACACATCCACACACACACATACATACACACACACACAGAGACAGCAGAGCCTAAATTCTTGGGGAAGAGAGGGGTGGGTGGAAACGTAAAGAGATCAGTCAAGGTTAGGCTAACGCTGCATCCATGTGTGTCTTTCTGACTCATACAAAAGGTCATACATTTGAAGATTGGTGGAATGGCTCATTTCTGGTTTTTGAGCTGGTTGGAGAGCCAGTCAAGCCCCTCATAGAGGCCATCGCCGCTGGTGGCACACGTAGCCTGAATGTACCAGTTGCGATGACGCAGTGCATGAAGGCCCAGTTTATCCGTGATCTCAGCTGCATTCATTGCGTTGGGTAGGTCCTGGAGGGACAACCAGGCATGAGAGAAATGTTTCACACATTGTACATTTGGTGGTTGATATAGCTCTCCACATAGCAGATCAAGGCAAGTGGTCTTTGTCATTCCTCAATATAACTTGTATACATTGGACAAGACTGAGGATTCAATTTCCTCCCTAAGCCATTACATCAGGCTATACCAAAAAGAGCCCCTGGGAAAGGCTTCTAATGCTGCAGTCGCCCACCTCTGTGACAAGCTTAAATTTTAAGTCGCTCTGGATAAGAGTGTCTGCTAACTGCCATAAATGTAATGTAAATGTAAAAGTAATTTGTTCTAGCCAGCTGAAATACTTTCCTACTTCTAATAATAAACAAGGAAGATACACGTTTCTTATCTGGGAAGATGTAATCCTGACCTGTTTGTTTGCAAAAACAAGGAGAACAGCATCGCGCAGCTCGTCTTCCGCCAACATTCTCGTCAACTCCTCCCTTGCTTCATTCACTCGTTCCCTGTCGTTGCTGTCCACTACAAAGATCAGGCCTAAGACATAAACATGCAACATACATAAGGTTTTAAATTTAAAAAATCCCTTCCTCATTGTTGTTGAATATCAGTCAATTCAGAAAGAATTGTAATGGAACACTTTAAAAAACAAACACTGCTATATTTTTCTCCAAGTGAGCTGAAACTAGCTAAAAGTTGTAAAAAAACTAGCTTTTAGCTGTTAGTATAATTTTTGTCATGCTACATTTCTTACATAAAGTATTACAATCACTCAGTAGTTTTCAATCAGTGGTGGAAATCTTTAGGTGACCTAAAAACACATCATCAGTGTACCAAGTTTTCATGGAAGTAGTAAAAAGATGCACATGCACCACTGCTAAGTCAACCAACTCAAAATGTTTTTCTTAAATTAATCTGTAATGTCAACTAGAAAAATGACAAAGATTCTTAGCATGTGACTTTCTCTCTAACTACTGTTCAACGTAATAAAACAACCTTTGATAAAGAAAAGCAGGCAGCATGACATTTCACACATATTTCACTTATCACAACATATTTTCTCTAAACCACCCAGATTTTTTGGATCAAAGCAGGGGTGCATCATATGGCAAAATTATAGCATCACAATACTTTCAGACATTTTCACAATACACGATAATCCTTACAATATTTTGTTTTTCTGAGGTTTGATAAACTTTAAGAACTGCTATCCACATACAAAAAACGACTGGCAACCCATTTACAAATGCACTCTGGGCAGATATCAGCAAAAAAACTCAACTGTATTCAACAGGGGACCGCCTTGTGACCGGAAGGTTAACGGTTCAATCACCTGAGCTGAAAGGACATGACTGAAGTGCCCTTGAGCAAGGCACCTAACCCCCAACTACTCCCCGGGCGCTGGGGATAAGGCTGCCCACCGCCCTGGGCAAGTGTGCTACCTGCCCCCTAGTGTGTGTGCATTGTGGGTGTGTATGTAGGTGTTTCACTGCACCGATGAGTTAAATGCAGAGGTGAATTTCCCTGTTGTGCGATTAATAAAGGGTAACTTAACTGCGTGCAAACTTTATATAGATCAACACCATTCTATGTTAACACTCCCCTGCCATCAGTTCTTAGAGATGGGACAGCACACCACAGGTATAATTGGGACAACAAAACTTTGGGTGACCTGTATGAAGAGAGTGTGCTCATGTCCACTGAATAACTGCAGCATAAATTCCTCCTTCCTGCCAAACATTTTTTAAAATACCTGCAGGGGCAGCAAGGTGGCCAACTACTGACGTTTTTCTCTCTTCCTCAAGATTTCACGATAAAAAACAAGCAGGATTCTAGGGGCTTTGTCTCTTATGTTTACGGAAAGCTATCTGAATTTCTAGGAGATGCTGCCTCTACCGTTAAATTAAAATGGGAAAAGGACTTGGAGTGCATAACTGAAGACAATGTGTGGGGGAAAATTTGTGAAAATGCAGTTCAAGTTCATTCAGTTTAGTATCATTCCTCGGATATATTTATTTCCTGAAAGTTTATATCAAATGAACAATAATTGCTCAATACATTGTCCCAGATGTAAAGTGGGGATTGGAACTTTGTTACATATGCTGTGGTCTTGTCCTGACCTAGAGCGATACTGAAAGGCAGTTTTACATATTATTTTAGAAATCACCAAAGTGAATACACAACTATTCCCAAGACTTACCTTGCTAGGAGATGAATATGTGTTATAAGAACAAATAAGGGTAACCTTAGATTTATTAAAATAGCACTCCTCGCTGCCAAAAAATGTATTACTATTCAGTGGAAATCCTCTGAACCCCGTAGCCTTTCTATGTGGATAAAAGAAGTCTCTTCCTAAATCCTTCTAGAGAAAATACTATTTAATTTAAAAGACAAAACCCAATCTGTTTGAGAAATTTTCTTCTATACTAATGCAGGACAACACATCTATGTGCCATGTGACATCCTCAATTAGGTAACTGTTTTGAATTATATTTCCTGCTTTATGTGATTGATTTACTTGTATACTAAACCTGTTTTTTTTTCTTCTGCAAGCACTGCTGGGGTATGATTGAAGGATGGTGTGGGATTTATGTGGGTGATGTGGTTGAAGTTTGAATTGAATTCAAATGGTCTCAAACTGGTAATTCCTGAAATATTTACATTCAGCCAGTTACTGCAAACAGGAAGAAAGAAGGAAACAGGCTATGATAAGCGAGTCAAAGCTAAGTGAACTTTGTGCTCTGTAGGAAAGTAGATTTTATGTGCTGGCCGCTCCTACCTTGCGTGTTCTGGAAGTAGTGCCTCCACAGTGGTCTGATTTTGTCCTGACCACCAACATCCCATACTGTAAAACTGATATTCTTGTACTCTACCGTCTCAACATTAAAACCTGTAGATTAAACACATACACAATTCTTAAACTCCTGTGTTAACATCTCTAGTGCACACAGTCAAACAGGGTTCACATAATCTACATTTAAACTGCCCAAAAACATACAAGGCGATTTACAAATACTCATACAAATACCTGTTTTTCTACAAATGCACTTCCTCCATTCACACACACACACATACACTACACTTTACATCCACTCTAACACACACACACCCAAGATAAGGTCAAGATGAAGACAAAGGGACACAGTGCACTGTACAGGCCAAGGGCAAAAAACAGAGACAGCAAGAAGAGTGTGCGAGGGTGTGTCTCTGACTGAGAAAAAGAGAGACAGAGAGAGAGATAGAGAGAGACAGCGAGAGAGAGAGACAGAGACAGAGAGAAACAGAGAGAGAGAGATGTAAGGGGTCTGAGAAAAAAAAATCAAAGCCAGTTTGTGCACACACCAATTGTTGGTATCGTGGTGACGATCTCTCCCAGTTTGAGTTTGTATAAAATGGTGGTCTTCCCAGCAGCATCCAATCCCACCATTAGAATCCTCATCTCCTTCTTCCCAAACAAACTTTTAAAGAGATTAGCAAAGACATTCCCCATCCTCTCTACTCTGAGGAAGCATATGAGAGAGAACGAGAGAGAGAACGAGAGAGAAAAAGAGTTCACACCTTTAAGCTACAATACATTCATTTACTTATTGACTGATATAAACTTGTAAACTGACTGGGCCTTAATGCAGTCTCTGCTCTTGTAGGATATTACCACTTAAACTGGAATTTAACGACTACGCAAAAGTACTAACTCATTAAACGTTTCACGCCGAGGCCAACTGGCTACGTAGATAACAAATTAATGTCCATTATTATAATGTATTACCGAAGTTATGCCACCTTCAACGAACAAGTGGTTTTGTCACATTTAAACGTTTTCTCTCATATTGTGACTGACGAAAAGTAAGTTAACTAAGCTAGCTAACTCTAGCTAACACTAAAAACTACTGGGACAGCAGCTTCAAACTGGAACTTCTAGCTAACAGTTAGCTCGCTAGCTAACTGAACCCCTAACGTGAACGAGTTTACTTACTTTTAACATGACATTTAAAAATATATTTAAGATTCACTCTTGTTCTTGTAACAGGGTTTGTTAAAGTGGGATATAAGTAACAAAAAGCTGTTTTCATGTTTTCAGCTAGCGTTCCCACATTAGCTTTAGCAGCTAACTAAATAAGCTAAAGCCAAGGCTTGAGCTAACTTGAGTGTTCCAACATACTTGGAGTGAAGTAAAAGTTGTAAAAAAAACAGTTACACTTACAGTACCAGTTAACCTACTTTACACTCCCTATAAACACAGGTTAAAGTATATTTGATTATCTAAAAATTCACCTCGTCAGCGGAGTTTCTGGAGACTTCTCTATCACCGTTGTCACGTCAAAATGGCTTTGTCAGGCCCCGCCCACCCCGACGACCCACCCTATCACGGCGGTGGAAGTCGTCCTACGGTCCGCCCCTTGACAAACACGCCGAACAGGAAAGAGGTCCGCATAAAGTACACGCCTTGTAACTCAAAGAAAGCCGTCCGCTTCTCACACTTAAAGGGAAATTCTGCCGATTGGTTTTAAATTTCTGCGCAATTCAGTTGTTGAGATGTAAACAAAGTAATTCAAAGTGGTTTGATGTGAAATGATTCACTGTACAGAAACCTCTCGATTTAGATTTTCTTTGCAGTGGTGGTGATAGGAACCAGGGGTCACAATGTCAACAACACAAATGTAGACATTTTGTTTACTGTGTAAAGCCTCCAGTGAACTTATACGTGTCTATGTTTTTATATGTAATGTTAATGATGGTGAAGTGGAAAAAATCAGTGGAAACTCATCTCAGAAGAAGAAACTCAGGAATTCCCTTTTAAACTCTGCAGACCACCACTGTTAGCAACTGAAGGGTTTCTTTCCAAAGCACATTAAAGACCACTGTCCTAACTTTTCTTTTTTCTTAATGATCTGCGTTTTTAGGAGGGAACTTTGCACATATAAGAAATATCAGTGCCATATTATGATTAAAGCCACCTTTATCATTTAAATATAAATACACTGATTGGCCATTTAATTAAGTACACTTCCTTAAATTTACACTTAACTTTCATTTTATCAGCTACACTTACCATATAGGTGCACTTTGTAGTTCTACAATTACATACTTCAGCCCATCTGTTTCTCTGCTCACTGTATGATCCTGTTCCTTAGTGCTCAGGACCCCTACAAGACCACCTCAGCGCATTATTTGAGTGGTGGATTATTCTCAACACTGTAGTGACACTGACATGGTGGTAGCATGTTAGTGTGTGTTGCGCTGGTACAAGTAGATCAGACAGCAGTGCTGCTTGGAGGAACAGCTATATATACTTTTCATACTTTTATTCACTTTTTTTTGGCAATAAAAATGTGTTTATTACATATTTTCTACAAGACCAATAAAGAACACAGCATATGTGAGTATATCTACCAAATTTACAGTTCTGAATATTTAATGGTGCAGCATGTATACAGACATTTTGTGATCATACTAAATTTAGTTATTGGTCACAATGTACTACTGATAATACTGTAAGAAAAATGTGCTAAACTTAGTAATTAGTCAAGAGTTATTTAGAAATGTTGCTACATACATGAGAGCCCCATTTCATTTTAAACCATACCAAGTTGGTCTGAACTATTAGGCATAAAATGAGCAAAACGTTGTTGCTGCTAGAGACTCACTCCATTGGTTTCTGTTGATTTCAGTGCATTCGCAGGAATTATGAATGCTCGCTTATATTAAACCTAAAAGCTTGTTGTGAGGACGAGGGGTGGGTGGATCAGCACTGAAATATCGATACTTCTGATCCTGTTATTTCTTTTTGAGAATTGATCTTCACATGACAATATCAATATTAGGTGTTTTCTTTATGAATGTGTATGATAGGTGCTACTTTTCCTTCAGCTCCTCTCCTGCTTCTCACACACACAGACACATGAGACTCTACTTGCTCTACAATGGCAGATCATTTGGAGTTCACTCTCAGTTTATCTACACTAATGCATAGAAAGGCTTTCATATACAATTTTTAATGTCCACTTTTTTACTGTAGAAATCACAAAGAATTCCTCTTCTTAAAAGTATCGGTATGGTATTGTGATATTTGCCTTGGCATTACTTGGTATCGGATAGGAAAAAAAATGCCCATCCCTGGTGAGGACTTCCACACAAACACCCAGATCTACCCCTTTAGAGATCACACACGCTCTCATCCTGTAATGCACATATATTACATTGAACATGGGAAAAGGCAAACAAAAAAACCTGGATTAAAGTGAGTTCTCCAAATCTGCAAAAGGTCTGTTGTGTGTTTCAGTCATCCAGTCACTGTGTAGTAATAGTAAACTGAGATGACTGGACTTGATAAAATTTTTAAAATCCCCTACATGTCTTCAAGATTTCAACTAATGTCCTGTCACAAAAGATTTGTTGTCATAGAACCACTTTTGGTTCCCTAAAGAACTATGCTTGAAAAAGAGATCTGTGAGGATGAAGTACCTTTTAAAGGTGTAAAGAACCTTTATTAAGTTCTACGCCATTATAAGGCATATTGCTAGAATCTTTACATTATGTGGATGCTCTATAAACTTTAAAAAGTTCTTCACACTCACACATGGTTCCGCTCATTGAAAGGTTTCTTTAGGGAACCAAAAATGATTCTTTTCTGGCATCACACAAAGAACCCCTTTTGGCAGTTTTGTTTTAAGAGTATTCTGTTGCACAATTTTGCAGAACCCTGTAGAATCAATGCTACAGAATGGACACACCTAATAAAAGACACCGCTGATTTCACCATTGATGAAATAAACATTCTTGATGCACTTTAACCCTACTGTATCATAAGGTAAAAGGTGAGACAAAGTAGGCCAGTTATAGGAAAACTTCTGTTTTTAAAGAGCCCATATCCTACATTTTATTGTATTTGATCTTTTTATCTTTTCCTTCAAGGTCAACTTATAACATTTGTATCATTAAAAAAGCAGAGTGGAAACACTCTTTGGAATTTTATATATAATATAAATAGACAGGGCTACATTGCTGTAGGCTGAATAGGTAGATATCACAGAAACAATGAATTTAAAACAGGCTATTTTTGCAGCTTAGTTTCCATATTTGGACTGGACAGTGAACAGTATGTTTTCAAACTTTAACAACATTTACATTTTCCTTTAAACTCATTCATTTTAGAAAAGTGAGAGAAAGGCTGATATGGACCCTTTAAAATTATCTAATTACTTTGGGGTACTGTTTTTTTCCTCATGATGTGGAAGGACAGCTTCTTTTCACAGCACCTTTCCTCTACCAAAATCTGCACAGGACTATTTTTATGGCAACAGCTATATAAACAAAGCCACCATCTCATTTAAACTGGGAGAACCTACCAAGAAGCTTCTTTGCTCTGATGCCTCACTAGTTGGTGGCTGTGATTTTGTAAGTGAGAAATGTACCTAAGTTAAAGGTTAAGCAGAAATCATTTTAATGAAGAGACATCACATTGTTTCACAATTCAGTAAACAAGTATAAGTGGATGGAAGTTAAAGAAAGAAGGGAATGTTGTGTCAGTGAAGATGTGTCCGTGTGTAGGTTTATGCTGCTAGCGTGGAGCAGGTGTCTGATGCGCCTTCATCGTGTTCTTGCTTCTCCAGTTTTCCGTCTCTGACTCTCCAATCCCAGTTGGTGCTGCCATCTGGAGCAGGGACGCACTGCAGCCACATGCCCGACTCCAAAAGCTCTGTGTCTGGGGAAACCAGCTTCCCATCCAGGGTGGCCAGGCTGAAGGTCCTCATGGAGATCTTTGATTCAAGACAACACATACGTAAGACAAACAGCGATTTAGTAGTAGTCATGCACTTCCTGGTTATCTCAGCCAGGGAAGTTTAAAGCCTAAATCTGTGATTACTTTTTAATTGGGTTAACATCTCTATTTATAACAATATATTTCTGCTCTGGCTCTGCCACAAGGCAAGTGTTGGTTATACTAAACACAGTATAAAGGCACATGCGACTGAACGTAAAATTAACCATGCTCTTCGTAATATTAGGTCGTGCCTGAATAGTCAGTCCTCTCTTCAGATCAGTGAATTCGGCTGGTTTTTGAGCAGTGTTATCCCACTTTTCCCATTCAAATTTTGCTAGATGTTTATTATAACACTCATACATGTACTCTGAGTTTGTATATGTAATGTTGATAATAGTAATGAAATGAAATGAAATGAAAATACGCAAAACTATCAGAAAATAATGATGTAGGCATCAGGCAGAGTATTCGTAACCATTTCATATAATAGCTTTCCATGCGGCAGTGTTTAGAGGCATTAAAGTCTTCGGCAATCTGGTTCCTATCAACACACTGTATATTTCTCTAGAAAGGTGCATTTCATATCAGACCACTTATCTTAGATCTTAATGAGTGAATTTTGTATAAATCTTAAAACATTTGGTGGAATTCCCCTTTAAGCAGAGCCCTCCACCTATCTAATGTTCAAGACTTAAAGATGTTTAAAAGTGAGGTCAACCTATCAGACTACCTATGATAATGTGAGACACTGCCAGCTTCTCACCTGTGCACTTATTCCTACAGCAACATGTCCCAGCTTCACCTTCAGCCTCTCTCTGATCCTAAGAGTCTCCCCACTCACATCCTCCACCCAGATATCCACACCAAGACCTTCACACAAACATAAGTGTGTGAAGTTTCAGTAAGCATAGCAATCTACAAACACATCCTAAATGTAGACACATACACAGTGTAGGAATCGTCAGTGAAATTACCTTCAAAGCAGCAAGAAGGCGGCTGATGTGTGGACACTGACCAGTCTACGTTGAAGCTCTGTCCATCTGTAAGGCTACTATAAGAAGAGAACACCCCAGAGCTCAGATCATCTGACCAATCTGAATTCTGTAAAGCATAAAGAAGAGTATGAGTTAATATGTTGATTAATTATAAGGGATGATACAATACTTGAGTTTGCTTGTGTTACACTATGTGACCAAACGTATGTGGACACCTGACCACTACACCTATATGAGCCTGCTGGACATCCCATTCCAGAACCATGGGTATCAATATGGAGTTGATGCCCACCCCCCACACAGCGCCGGCATGCTTTACAGTACTTCAGCCGATGCTTGGCACTGAACATAGTGATATTTGGCTTGTGTGAAGCTGCTCAGGCATGTTGCTTCCAGAGGCAGTTTGGAACTCTATAGGAAGCAAAGCAATTGCGGTTCAGCACCTGACGTCCCCGCTCTGTTTGGAGGTCTACCACTTTGTGGCTGAGCTTTTCTCGCTCCTAGATGCTTCCATTTCACAAAAGAGGTCGCCATCCTCTGACAGTGCCACTGCCAACCTTTGTATATGAAGACTGATTGGCCAAGTGCTTGATTGTATACACCTGTTAGCAATGGGTGTGGCTGAAACACTTGAACTCAATGATTAGGAGGGGTGTCCACATACTTTTGGCCGTATAGTGTATATGTACCTTGTCAGTTAGATCTGGTTCAGAAGCACAGGTGCTGCGGTGACAGGTGAGAGTTAATTTTGAGTTTTGTTCATGTAAGGTCATCTTTCCACCTGCAAAGAGAGAGAGAAGGGGGGCATCAATACTTTTGAATTTATGAACACAGCACACAGACTAAACATTACTATAGCAACTCAAGGTGCTCTAACAAACCTATACGTTAAAGCATTTTGATTTTTAGAGCATTTTTAAAATCAAATCTTTTTCCTTCTGTATAGCAACATATTTCTGAGTGAAACAGTCTCAGATGGTCTCTGAGGCAGCTTAGCGCTTTCACTCAGTGAGATGATTCAGGCCCTGTTCACACTTGGTATTAACATCCGTCTTGAGTGATCTGATCATAAGGGGACTTCAGGACGTGTAGCTGTTCACACTTGGCATTTCTATATGTCTTGAACGCGTCTTCGGTGATTGGATTTCGTGACTGGCGGACGGGTACCATGGGATCAGTCTCTTGCTGCATTTGTTGTCAGACAAAGATGTACCTTGAGTCCGTGTACAATTGAAAGGACTGTTACAGATGTTTAGGCCACATGAACCGCTACACAACTTGTAAACAAACTGTACAATTCTAAAAAAGGGTTTAGTAAAGAAAATAGTTTACTAATGACACTAACTTTCTTTCTTTAGAACGATTTCATTATGTAGAATTCACCTTTAACCTCAGAACAATGACAAGGCAGCTTAAAATATCATAAATACACACTCACTTGCAGTTGTCGATGCTTCAGATTCTTCCTCTGTGTCAGAGTGGTCATCCTCGCTCTTCAGGTACGGTTTATTTTGTGCTTTCGTCCCATAGAGGATCTGCAGGCGGTGGAACGGCTCCCACTCTTCCTCTGCCCAATCGCTGCCCAGCTCTCTCAAACTGTCCAAATCACTCTCTACCTCCTCTTCAGCATCATCTACTTCACTCTCTCCTTCAGCTTCATCCACTGGGCTTCTTGTCTCTCCCTCATAGGGACTCTCTTCATCCAGGACACAGTCTGCCGCTGCATCAGTATCATCCATCTCTTCTGAATCAGCCTCACCTGGGCCTCCACCTGATTCGTGGTCTTCCTGCTCATCTGACACTTTTTCCAGCTCTGTGTAAATGTCGTCCTCATCTCCTCTTTCTTGTCGGGGTTCTCTCTCATCTTCTAAAAGTGTTTGTTTTTTGTTTCTTCTTATGGATGAATATTGCTCTGTTCCCCAGTACCTCTCCATCCACACTCTCATCTTATCTCTTTTCAGCTCCTCCATCCATCCCCCATGGTCCCACTCACTCTCCTCATCAGATTCCCTTTCTTCTGAGTCCGTCTTGTCCTCCTCTTCTGCTCTCTCTCTCCATGTGCTAACCCACTGGATTCTAGGAGCAGAGAAGTCCTGCTGACTGGTGGACGTTGGGGCTGCTATTGCAGAAACAGGGGGCAGAGTCTCCTGGGTTGCTTGGGCGATGAGAGGAGGGATCTCCTGCAAGCTCACTGGTGGGCAGTTCTGAAGCTCAAGTGTGTGAGAGCGGTGAGATAACACCGGATCAGAGAACCCACCCACTACACACGGACAGCCAAAGAGAAACATGTAAAAGTCTATTAGCTAATTGTAGCAGCAGACAGTATTAGTTATACATTTTCATCCACTCAACTTACGTTGGAACAATTGCTCACATACATGTTAGATTTAAAAAGCTATTCATCTGGGCAGTGAGCGTTTAATTACTCACTTTAAAAAAATATATTCACTGCCAAAGTACTGTGAAATTTAATGGTCAACATCATTTTTCTTTAAATAAAAGTTAAATGCATGTAAATGAACCACACATATACTGTATTTTAACACTGCTGTTGTTAAAAGTACAGAAATAGAACAAAAACCACAAACCAACGATCACCTTCATTTCACAGACATTTGTGTCAAGTTTAATGGCTGCTGCTGCTATGATTAATTTAGTAAAACACTATGTCAGAATAACTAGAATACTGGGGAACATACAAATGAAACAAAAACTGAGATACATGAGGTTTGCTGTTTGGTAGAGAGTAAAATGGACTAGCTTGTCTAGAAAAAGGGCCAGTGTGGCAATATTTTCCAACCAAACAAACATGTAGAACCACAAATTGTTAACACTGGTTATTAGTTATGTAAAGGTTTTTCTGCAAAAAGGTTTTAATGCTTAATTTTTTTTTCTATGTAGGCTATGTAAACAGAAATTGTCAATAATATTTTATGAATTAGGATGAGGGCAATAATACATCCATACATAAATGTAGTGTCCCTCAGTAGGTTATGGGTAAGTCAGGGAGGCCGAATGTTACGACACACTGGAAATTAAAGATGGAAACATGTTAAACACTTTTTTTTTAAATAAACAATAGTTTTTTGCAATAGTTTTTGCAACAGCATTTTTGGCAGGAGATGATTATTATGTAAAGCATTTTGTTGCTACAAGTCAGGCTGATGGAAACAAGCAGCCAGGGAACCAAAAATTGTAAATTTTTTATGCATTTTTATTTTACTGCTGGCTATATGCACAGAAAGTGAATGAAAACAGTGTTACATGCTGTCTGTGCAGAATATAGTTATCATTGTAAATGATGTAATATTAAAAGCCAGCTCAGTAGGCGATTATAATGCGAACTACAGAGTAAGGCTCTCAAACACTCACATGTAGAACTTTGTAACTGGATTTGATATTTCTCAGCACAGACTCACAAGACCTCATGGAGTATTAAACCACTTTCCAGCTTGAATTTCAATTAATGAACTGTGTGGCATTGTGCATTGTCTTGTTGGAATATCCATCATTTGTTGTGGTTTTCCTGCTTTAAGTGATCAGTGAATGCTAATAACCTGCTCGTAGAGCTTTGGTGGCTTTCTCCAGCAGTTTTCTTGCAGAGTCTCTCTCCTTTGGCTCCTTTACCAGTCCCCCTCTGATGACCTCACAGGTCAGGGGGTCACAGCCAGGAGGAATCTCCCACAGAGGTGCAGGCTCGCTCACAATCTGCACAACATATATTCATATCAACACATATAACTACATAGACAACTACATCTTACATACAATTTATCAGCCACCCTTCATGTCATTTTTCACTGGTCAGTTTCTGACTATAGGACACCTGTTGGCCAGAAATTATTTAGGTGCTGGACCATTCTTAACCCAGCAGTGAGACTGACTTGGCAATGATAGTGTTTGCGGTACTGATACGAGTGTATGAGTGTTTACACACATCAGCGTCACTGCTATATTATGAATGGTTCACTACCCAAAAAATATCTGACCAACACTGGTCCTGTGTTCAGAAACTGAGCAGTGATGATTAGAGATATAATATGATCTCAACAACAAAGCTGTGGCCTCTAACAAAGTGGTCAGTGATTGTATTTTCTTTAAATAACTGTAGAGGAACTGACTACAATCTACAGTAACGTGCACCTTACTTTCAGGCAGAGTGGGTGAGTGTAGTATCGTGTCCAGGGCTGATGTCCAGTGAGCATGTGAAGGAGCATGCAACAGCTGCTCCACACGTCTGCTTTATCAGAGCGAGGATCTCCCCGCGCCACCTCAGGAGCCATGTGGCTCTCAGTTCCACGCAAACCATTGCCTAAAACACACAGGTACACAAATCAGAACGAAACCTTGTATCTTAAATAATAACTTTACAGTTGAAGGAAAAAACATTCAGTTAATAACATGACTTTTTTCAAGTAGTTGTGGATGTTTTCTGTTGGTCCGATCATCATGAAATCTTAACTGAATGCAAAGGGTACAAATTATACAAAAAAGTAAAAAAATGCTACAAATATGCACATCTCTTACTTATTTCTTTGGATGCATGTGTTTTTGCACATGGGATGGGGTCTCACTTTGGCTTGAGCATACTTGACTCAAACAGTATAACCATTATATCCTTTCAGGTGCCAAAAATCATGTTTCTCCATAGACATTCATTCAAAATTACTTCTATTTCATCATTTGTTTTGTATAAAGCTTAAAAAAATTCTTGTCTCTTAGCTTTTACATCATAAGTCTTGCACAGAGCAACACTGTTCACTACTGTCATTACCACTGAGATGAAGAACCAAAGAACTTGTAGTTTTTTTTTAAAAGCTACTTCTACCTACAAGGCATGTCATCAGAGGGGGGTTTTCCTGGTCTTTAAATTGGAAATTAGAAAAATGTCCACTCTGAACTGCACCAAAGTTTACATTACATGTAGTGATTATTAAATGTTCCATTTTGGCCAGAGTGCCCCTTTAATACGGTATGTCAAGTACTCATTAGGCTTCGAATGGTTTGTGATGTCTCTCTGGTGCTGCATGTGTGAAATAATTTGATATGTCCTGTCATCACACCTCTAGCAATGTGTTTATCGCAGAGACTCATATCCCAATAACGATTAAAATACGATTTATTGTACAGTCCTAAGTTAGTCACATTAAATTTACACCTCACTTGCTCAATTATTCCGGAAGAAAATACCCAAGAGCCAAAACAGTCAGGGTCTAGGATGCATCTATATGGGTGTGCATGTGCCACTCAACAAATCTCATTGGAACAGTGCACACATGTTTGTGGAAATCTTACCTCTGAATGTCTTGGTGCTGCATCCAGTTTTGTCCAACATCTCAGACAACCCAAAATCACACAGGAAACACTCCCTCCGGTCCTTTGAAAGCAAAACATTATCCACTGCAAGCACACACACATATATACAAACAAATGTTTATTGAGCTTACAGTGGAAGATGGAGAAAAAATGGACACTCATAAAAGTTTGTCCTCATCACTGCTACTAATGTGCAGTACTCATTCTGTACCATATGTGGGTGCTGTTTCATCACTGTTGATTTGCAAACAAACTTAATAAAGACATGGTGTAATATAGTTAGAATACTGTGCAAACTTCTGCTTATTAGTAAATCACAGAAAAAAGACCTTCTTGCTCACCTTTAATATCCAGGTGTATGACTTGTCTGCTGTGTAGGTGTTCGAGAGCCTGTAGCACCTGACTGTGGTAATAAAGAGCCATGTCTTCAGGAAGGCTACCTCTTGCTTTTAGTAACTGGGCTAGTGAACCTAAGAGAACGACAGAGAATGAGGGAGAGAGAGAGACTGAAATATTACAGATGGGTGTACATCTGCTGGCTTTACCCTTAATATCTTGTAGGTAACACTGATAACTTTAACTTTGTAGGTAACAGTGATTAATTTAAATATGTTTATTAGCAGCATACATTCACCAGCCACATAAAGTGGCTGGTGAATGTATGCTGCTAATCTTACAGGTCTTTATCTTACAGGTCCACTATATGGACACCTCACCTTTTTATTTTGGATATTTTGAGAAGAACTAGTTAATTAGAAAACCAGTTAATTAGACTATTATGCTTGGGAATAGCTGATGATAAAAGAGGAAAAGAATGACCAATTACAAGATGGATGGATACAATCAGAGGAATCATGAACAGGCCATAAAGAACCCTGAAGACCCAAAGAGAAGATAGCATTTCTCCAGAATATTCTATCCATATGGTTACCAGGCACTTAATAATAAATAATAAGCACAATTTGTCAGCTTCCAACGCATCCATCAATGGTCAGATTTTGGCTACAGGACCACAACTGACCAGATGTTATCTGGGTTGTGGATCACAGCAGTGACAGTGACATGGTAGTGGCACAGTAGTGTGTGTGGTGCTGGTGCAAATATACACATGCCAACATCACATCCAGCCAAGAGCAGCTGCGTGGTCAGAAACTGGTCATTGTTGATGGGCTGGAGAATGGCTGACACAAACTGTGCATGGCAAATGATGAGCACCAGCAAGGTAGAGCCAAGGTAGGGTCTCAAATAAAGCTGATGAATGTGTTTTCACAGCAACCAGAATTCACCTGTTTTAAGGTCCATGAAGAGGACGACATTGAGCCCCTCTCTCACTGCCCCGTATAGCTGGAGCACATGTGGGGAGTCCAGTCTGCTCCATGTCCCCACCTCCTCCCAGCTAAAACTGCACAGGGGAATCTGTAGATGGTAGATTGTACAGTGTTAGAATTAAACGGTAACCGACCAAATAAACTAATGTTTGACCAGTGTTTTCGATTAAAAAGTTACTTTAATTTTAGCGAGTTTTTTTTTTTTAATCAACTTGAGAACCGTTTTTGAATTGTACGCATGAGGGCGCAAGAGCACAACTTATCCGGGTTTTCTGGACTCGACTCCACTCAATTTTAACAGAAAGCCGGAGCCATTGATAAAGGAATGTAACAGAGACTAAACCATCCTAAATCTAGTGTACACCACTGTCCCAACTAGGATATTTAGCTACATGAGTGCTAAGGTAGGCTACGGCTAACTTTTTTGAACGTCATGTTGCTTCTTTTGAGTGAAGCCTTAAGCTACAGCCTCCAAACGTTAACCAACGGTTAGCCTTTGTAACCTAACTAACTTAGTCCCATAACAAAAAGCTTACAAGCTGCGATCTACCGACGTTATGTACTGCGATGAAGTTGGTTTCATATTCGCATATTCGGATTCCTTTCTTCGAACGGCGCATGCAAATGTTGCTACTTGCAAATTATCGTTGCTTACACCCAAGACGCGCAGTTACAAGTTCATAAGGGCCGGAAATGTTTGCCTTTTGAAAACCGCGGGAAACGTTGCTTTCTCCGGGCTGCAGTGACCTCCGCGAGAGCTAAAGGGCCGTCAAAATACATTACAGTAAAGACGCAGGTAAAGATCAGCGGGGAAAACGCACTTAGCGTTTATTCTATTACAATTAAGATTTATGAGCCACAGTAGGCCTTTTAGCATATCACAGTGATCAGTTAGATGTTTTAGAAAAAGCTGTATTTATAATTATTGCTCTGTTAACAAAAGAAAAATATTGGAAAACACTCCAATCTATGACATGATTTGTAATTACCAAGTTGTTGGACTCACTTGACTGAATTATTTGACAGTCATTAAGTTTCTCCATGTTGCACAACAAATCTGAATATTTAATATTTTCTAGGAGTAATATGTGCTACTGACAGCAGGCGTTTAAAATGGGTACTGCAGTCCAAATTCAAAATATTGGAAAGAGTTGTCTGAATTTTCCCATTCCACCTTAAATGATGCAGCACTGACATTCTAGCACTTCAGGTGCCAGTATGTAACTGCTGCAACTTTTAAGGTGCAATGGGAAAATTCGAGCAAGAAGCTGGCAAATATGAAGCTAACTTCAGCTTCGTCTGCCTTGATAACCCACCTGCATACGGACCACCGAGTATGAATGTGATTACCTGTTCAGGAGAAAATTTGCGAACTCTGCATCCGTCTTTAAGTCTAAGCTGTCTCCATCTTTCAAATGCATTGCCAATATTTACTATGTCTCTGGTCATGGAGCTTTTTAGAAGGATGCAGAGGCTTTTTAGGTCAGAATCCAGTTCGTTTGCTTGCTTCCATGGCTGCTGCATGCCATGTTTGCCTGCCAGTGCGTTTCGTATCTGGCAACCCGGGGTGTCAAAATGGCACTGGAAAATGGGCAGTGGGCAGGATCTTTACGCTCCGGCAACAGAAATTTGAAAGGAGAACATACTGGCCATAGCACTGTTGTCACAGAAGCCAGTATTTCATCTTAGTCTGTTTCCTTAATCTCTGATGACATATCTTGGTCATTTTATGATTTATGTAAGTAACGCTAAGTAACGTTAGGCTGACTTATGTTGCTGTTGGTGGCGTAACTAGGATATTATGGGCCTCAGTGCAAAAAACAATGAATACCCCCCCCAACAAAAATTACAGTTTGAAGTTATTTATTATGAAGGTTAGATGAATACTAATAAGTAATAATGTTGCTTCTCTGTTTAGTATTTTTCAGACACCACAGCTCGCCCTGTTTCTCTTTGCCGCTTCCATGGTTTGTGACCACAGGTTTAAAGTTGAATTCAGCGCAAAGTGAAATCAGAGATTAGGTTTGTTCAACTTCACTGATCAGAGGTTCAGAGACCGATCAGTGCCTGACTTGGTAAGTTGCATGCCAGTTAGTTTTTTTTGTTTGACTTGCAACGGCACAGCCGGCGCATCACGAAGACAGTTGCATTACAATCTTGTGGGAGTGAAGCAGCACAGTTGTCCACCACCCAATTGCGCAAGCTGAGAGGCAGCTTGATGACAACAGAGTTTAATCCTCGTTGGCTAGAAGCTCAAGCAACGACCATTTGGTCACAGACTGTGTTCAGTACAGCATGTAGCTGATTAAAATGTGTTGGGTTTGTGGTTATTTGTTGTTTGAAATTATATTCTTAAAGAAATGTTATATCTAATGTGAACCTCTGGCCTGACGCTTCTTTCTCCGCTCTTTCCCAACAGCAACTGGCTACTTTAACCAACTGCCAAAGCGAGGCATCATTCATCTCAAATATAAGTAAAGATGGCACTCCTCTTCTGTTTGGCATTGGGGAGAAGCATAACACCCAGCTTGGCCAATCAAATCAGACCTCGTAAATTATAAGCTAATCATATCTGACCTTAACGTCTGTGAAGCTCTTCCAAGTTTTACAACAGTTCTCACCAGAGAATGGTTGTGTCCGAAACTAAAGGGAGCTGTCTCATAAGCCAGTGCCTTATTAGACAGTGTTGTGATGAAGGTACCTGCAACTGAATCGCTTTTGAGATGTGCTTCAAAGGCATCAAATTGTTGCCAAGATACAGAGAGCTAATTTCTAGTTGTTATCGTTTGACGTTAACATCTTTTACCCAGATGTGTGTCTTTTAAGTAGGCTATCATGTCAAACTTTTTCTAACTAAAATAAAAAGTATTGTACAAAAACTGGTCTCTCTCCTCTGCTGTCCGCTAGTGTCTTCTCATAATTTTTCCAAACCGCATCGGTACTGACAGAGAGGATTTTGGGATATGTAAGGCAGCGACAGATACATCTATGCTGCATTCAAAAATGGCTGAACAGAGAAACCTCAGCAGATGGGATTTTGTACAAACATTCAACAAACACAGTTTGTTAATGCGTCAGCATTTTTAAAAAGAAGAATGCATTCAATTCCTGAACACAGGAGCATAAAACATTAACAACGCTGTTATATTTTTGAACTCAAGTTATGAAGACTTTATAACAGTGCCTCGTACATTTACGACGTTGGTGAGCGCAAACTGCTTGACTCAGCCAATGAGCTGATCAGCTCGCTAACCAATCAGCTGGTTAGCGAGCTGATCAGCTCATTGAGTAGCAGTAGCATCCTTCTGCTCAAAACATGTTTGCTATAAAAAAAAATAAAAAAATACACAGGAATGTTTTTGCCTTTTTTAGTGAAATACGTTCTTCTACTTTCCAAAATTAAAGGAGGGTTTGGGAAAATGCTTTGAAACTATTTTAACTTTTTGTTTTTTAGCCGTTTACCTTCATTTACCCCCATTCATTTAGGATTTGCTTGTGGGCGCACTATGGCATTAGTCATGGTTTTGCTATAACGTGAGAAATAGGAAGTGGCCAGGTTCCCCTTAAACCAGCTCTGGTAGCACAAAGTTATTAATGTTAGTGCTTCACAAAACTTAGTTTTGATCATTACTTATCACTGCTGTCATAATATACTGAAATACTGATAACATGAAATACTGATGGTTACAAACTGCAGCTGTTTAGTCCTGCATATACTTGCACTTCAGTGGAGTGTTACTGCTATAGTTAACCTTAATACCATTCAGAGTCGCTGTTAGAGACATTTTTATGGGTTACTGCCTCTGATATTGTCTGTTACAAGCTGTTGTGTAACAAGAACATGCCGTTAATCATCTGAAGAATCTGAAATCATCTGAAGATTCTTAAAGTAAATTAATGAGAAAGGAACACCGTTTGGATGTTTGCTGACTTGCCAGTTAGTTAAATATGCGCTACTTTGTTACTCTAGTATAAAACAATGGAACTGCTATCAGTAAAGCAGATTTGACATGAATAAGCCCACTTTGGCTAGCTAAGTTAAATCTTTGAGAGTCATGAGTTGTTTAAAGATTAAAGATTTTAAGATTATCAGGCATTCGCCATTTACTACCATTCACTCACCCAGTTACGCTTTTTAGACCAAGCGTTGCTGTCTTCCTCTGGTGGAGGGTCTCTGTCGAAATTTAACACTACTACCACTACTACTTCATTTTTCATGTTCTCGCATTCACTTCCACTGAAGACTTTAAGATAGAATTAATGCGTAACTACACTGCATTCTGGTAAAGTCTGTTTAAAAACAGCACAGTTTTGCAAAGTAAAATCATTTTACCCTTTTCGCAGCACACGTAAATCCTGTTTGTTTGTCTCGGATGCTGAACACATCACCATATGAGCCATTCTGTATGTTTCGAAGCAAGGAATATTCCCGTCCTTCCCGATATTCCGAGTTCTTTGCCTGTAAAAACTAAAAGATAAGCATTGTGCCATTCTGAGTAACTTCTCTGAACAGACTTAAAGAAAGTAATGACATTGGAGGAAAACAGTATATTATAAAGCATTCTTTTCCATCAGTTTTAATTTCATACCTTTTGTGGATGGAAGAGAAAGCCTTCACTGACATTTAGCTTTTCCTGATCTCGGTCCTGTGCAGCCTCTTTCACCATCTCCCGGAAGAACAGGGAGAAGCGGCAGCAATCAGTGTGAGTCACAACACCCCGGAGTTCATTCAGGGTTAACTCAGAGTCATCCTTAAGGCAAGGAAAGCCTGTTCCACCATCCATTGTTTGACTTCGGTAAAGGTTTTTATCCACGTCACTGCTCTCAGTCCAAGCATTGTACAAATCGTAGGAGTCTTCTTGAATATAACTGATAGGTGAGTCGTATTGGCCTGCGGCAAAAGGACCTTCAGAGTCCAAGCTGCTGCTTCGTTCCACAGTGCCATAGGAGGATTCCGAGCCACAATCCGCAGTGTAGCAAGAAGCATCTGAGCCGGAACTTAACCTGGACGAGACAGAACCCCACTGGGCCTCGGCCAGGCTGTCTAGAGAGTCCACGCTAGCCTCAGCTCCGTTTGAGTCAAAGCTGCTCTCCCAGTCTGCATAGGCAGAGGGAGAATCCGAGTCACAGTCGCATCTGAAGGATTCACAGGAATTATCCGATCCTACAACGGCTTCTATGCTGTAGTCTGGCATGTCAAAACATGAGCTGTCCTCGGTATACATACACAATGCTTCAGTGTCACTGTTAAAAGAGTTCAGTCTTTTCTTTATTTTACAAGCCCCACCTTTCTTTCTTTCCATTGTGTTGTAAGAGCCATCTTCTCTTTGTGGAACCTCTGTATAGAGACAATCGGAGTCACATTCTCGCAGCAAACTGCAACAGATGGAGTCACAGCCCTTGATGCTCTCAGCGTAAATGTACACAGATTCAGGGTCAGAATTTAGTTCAGCACAGCCTGACCCTCCTCCATTACTAGAGTAAATGTCTGAACAGCAGCCCACTTTAAGTCTGTGGAGGCAAAGCCCTACTGCACTGGACAAAGGACACTCCAAATATTGGCTCCTGTGGTGAGGAAAAGCTGAGGCTAAAGTGGCACAATGTTCCCGAGATTCATACTCTGGCCTAGAGCAAACTTTGACAGTACTGTGGGGGCTGGAGTGATTGTCCTCCTGCTCAGGGAATATCAGAGGAGGTGCTCTCTTCTCCTCTTCCCCATTTAGTGATTTCTTCACTATTCTGTCCCTCCAGCGTTGTTGTCCTTGTCCATCAGCCTCTTTATGTCTCTCCCTTCCATCGCCAGTTCCCTCTCTGTGCTCTTTGTTGTGTATTCTGAGGGAGGGAGTCACACTGTGGGTGTCTCTCGGATGCATAAGTAATGCCACAGTCTCCGATGAGCTTCGCATTAGCGTAATGAGACAAAACCATTAAACATGGCAACAGACCTTTAGAATTAAAGCCAGATTTAAATGTGTCGAAATGCAAGATGTTTGCTTTGTGAATTTTGCACTGGATATACAAGGCAAAGGTAACTAACAAGTACTAGGAGTACACAGTGTGGGGAAACAAGTATTCTGACACTCTATTGTTATTTAATATACTCCTGGAACATATTTCTGCTTTAAATTTACACACAAACTTTCAGTGGGAGTCAGGAGAAGCTAACCAATGCAAGCACCTTCACCTTCTTTTTTAGAAACCAGTAGTTTGGCTGTATGTGTGGAAACATCATCTCCTCTCCAGATTATGTTTCTTGGCTGAGGAAATTTTCCTCTAATACCTCCTGGCACATCGCTCTGTTACTGTTTCCTTCAGTGACATGTAATGCTCCAGTACCACTGGCAGAGAAACAGCACCATATTGTGTTGTGCCCTCCTCCATACTAAACTGCGGGATGATACGCAAAGACCTTCTTTCTCCAAACGTACAACTCAACGTCGAGCTGAATTACCGTCAAAGAGCTCCAAAGAGTTCAATGTTCCAAAAGAGCTCTAAATGATCTAAATCAGGGGTGTCCAGTCTTATTCGCAAACTGCTGGTGTGGCTTCAGGTTTTCATTCCAAACAAAGTGGAGCACACCTAAATCTCTGTGTAAAATCAGTTGGTCTCAAACAACTGATCAGGTGTGCTCTTTTGTTGGAATCAAAACCTGCAGCCCCACTGACCTTTGCGGATAAGATTGGATATTTGTGGTCTAAATGCTCATGTGAAAATTTTATATATGCATCTGTGTGCTTCTTCTTTCAGCAGAAAAGCTTTGCGTGTGGTGTAGGAATGAAGATAACTGGAGGGCAATAAATTGCCTACTGTACTCTCTGTAGATAGAGAATGTTGTGAAATTGTATTACACCAGTTGTATTAAAAGCGATGTTTAAGGGATGCGTAATCTTGTCCCTGAGAACTTTAGGAATCTCATTCAACTTCACCATGATTGCTACTTGTTGCCCAAAATCTTCCCAAGCAGTGGCAAGGTCTTTCAATAATGAAAGCAGGTGCAATTTGCATGAGACATTTCAACTACATTGAAGTCTGGCTTTAATTCTAAAGGTACATTGACACTGTGTGCATAAATTTAAAATGGAAGTGTGTTAACAAAAGCAAAAGTGTCTGAATACTTGTTTCCCCTCACTATACAGCCGCCAATTAACGTCACAAACAGCATACCAATATCATCAAATACTTGCCTGAAAGCATGCTGCATTAGCGTGAGATGTTTAAAAGCATGTAGTTTCTGACATATTGTTACCTAAAAATGCACAAAAATAACTTGCTAAACATAACACTAAAAAGACAGCAATATCAGCTTAAATCATCTTAAAGCCTGAACGCTGTACATACTTTTGTTTATTTGAATAGACAAAATAATATCATACAGCGTCTAAAACCACATAAGTAAGTTTGTTTGCTGTCATGTCACAACTCTGTGCCTTGGCTCTCAAGTGAAGCGACTGTCTTAAGGGTTTGTGCGGCTCTCTGGGTGTTTCCTCTCCCTATATCATTCAGTGAGCTGCTCTCTTGGTGTTTTCTTTCATGCTGTTGTTCAGTGTTGTGCTGTTTGTTTCTCTCCCCCCAATCTGATCATTCTGTGTGCTCCTCTAGTTGCTTCATCTCCTTCTATTTCTTCTATTTATGTTCAGCTCTCTGGGTGGAAATGCTTGCCAGCGGAAGCAGCTCGCATATACATAGTTGGGAAGTTAGTGCTCACCTCCAAAAAAAAATCACTGACATTGCATAAGCAGCAGTTTGAAAATATGTGATGGCTAGCCCTCCACTCTTGGTACCATTGCGAGATAAAAGGAAGAAGGAGCTAGTGGGTGGACTTGGCAATGACTTAAATGAAGAATAAATTGGGCGAACAAAAAAAACCTTAGTTTGAGGCAAGTGTATGACGATTTAAGTATACAGTTTTTTTTTATAATGTTATAAGCTTGACTTTTGGCCAGATTATACCTTTAATATAATGACCAACAGAAATAGTTTGTTAAAGGGGAACTCCACCGATTTTGCAAAATTACTTAATCATTCAACCGTTTAGATGTAAACAAAATCATTCGGAGTGGTTTGGTGTGAAGTGCGCCTTTCTAGAGAAATTTACCAAGTCAAAATTGTTCACCATTATAGTACTAGGAACCAGACGTCCGTATGTCTACACTACAAATATCACCATTTTATCTGCTATCCAAAATGACCAGTGAACTTGTATGTGTCTTACAAGGTTTTATATGTCACGCTGATAATAGTAAAGTAGTGGTAAATTCGAAAAAATACGTTTTGGGGTACTATTTTTTCCTTACAACGCCCTGCATGTACCTCTCTTCCCTGCACGCCTTTTGTGTTGTTTGGGTTTGGCGGTGTTGCGTCACTCGGTGTGACCAAAACTCAAGAGCTTATGTGAGTAACGTTATTCATCAGAGGAGCTGCGATAGATTACAGTTGCACCTCGCTGTCCTACCCCATAAATTGGTGAGCAGAGTAGCAAGTAGTTTGTTTGTGACACCGTCAATTTTCATTCGCCCTGGGTTCTTCTGCTTCGGCGCTGGCAGGTTTTCATTATCTGTCTGTCTGTCTGTCTGTCTATCTATCGATCTATCTATCTATCTGTCTACCTCCCTCTCTCCCTCGTTTGCTCTCCCTTCTTCAAGCCACTACAAGTCATTTGTGAGTTCTGGTTCAAATCAATATAGCTCTACGACATTTTGGAAACAGATCTAGTCGAAGTCCTCCACACACTTTGCCATCTTCTAAAAAAGGTAAGAAAACTGTAAAAATGAACTAAACAAAGCTGCTGCCGGCACTGTATCTGATTCAGCTCCCCCTCAAATTCACGTTCCCTTTGATAAATCACGCCCTCGGGCGCGCGCACTCACTGAACAAAAAACGACAAGCAACACTGGAACTACAGAAAGCAAAAAAGTTCAAAAAACGATCGAAAGGTGTTCTCACCCGATCCCCAATATAAATTCACTGTTCGGTAAATGTACGCGCCCAAGGACCTGACTTGTCAAAGGGAACGTGAATTTGAGGGAACTTAATTGGAAACAACACCAGTGTTAGCCGTGTTGAATGGCTGTAGCCACAGACTACTAACTACAAAAGCACGTTAGCTGGCGGGCATTGATCTCAGTTGAGAATGCGGTTTTGACAGGAAACACACAAGTAATCCTGGAGTAATAATTTATATTAAAAATACGTTATAGGCCAAAACTTTATAATAAAACTATCACAAAACAATGTCTCAGCTATCAAAGCAATGCATTTATAACCATTTTGTGTAATAACGGGAATGCTTCGGACGTCTGGTTCCTAGTGCTATAATGGTGAACAATTCTGACTGAATTTCTCTGGAAAGTTTCACACTGAATGACTCTGAATGATTTTGTTTACATCTAAACCATTGAATGATTAAGTCATTTTGCAAAATCGGTAAAGTTCCCCTTTAAATAGCAGTGCAGTCTCACTATTTTGGAAACACCCTTATGAATGTATGAGTATACCTGCTTCTGAATTGAGATTGAAACAAGTTGTGTTCCACAAGGGATGGGCTAAATTCTTGCCACCGCCCACCTGAAACAGACAAAATACAAACATCAAAAAAAAAAAGTTGGGAAAGTATGTGAAATGGAAACAAAAACAGAAAGAAGTGATTTGTAAATCCATTTAACCTGTATTTAAACAAAAGAATACAAAGACAAGATATTTAAATGTTTTATCTCATTAACTTCATTGTCTCTAGCCTGCAACATGTTCCAAAAAAGTTGAGGCAGTAGCAATTTAAGACTAGGAACATTTTACAATGTTCAGAAGCATCTTAAAACAGGTTATGCAGTCATGCTTGAGATTCGCCACTGGATATGACCACATGAGTTTGGGATTACCTTGAAAGACTTATCAATAAACACAGTCCCTGCATCCACAGATGCAAATTAAGATTGTACTGCGCACAGTGGAAGCCATATGTTAGCAACGTCCAGAAATGTAGCCGACTTCTCAAGCTCATCTGAAATTTGGCTGATGCAGTGTAAACGTGTACTGGGGTCTGACAAGTTAACTTTTCAATTTATAGAAAATAATAAATGGTATATTCTCTGTACCAAAGAAGAAAAGGACCTTCTAGATTGTTACCAGCATAAAGGTCAAAAGCGAAGATGTGTTATAGTGGTGTATTAGTACACATGGCATGGGTAACTTGCACAGAATAGGCACCATTTATACACATTTTGGAGCAATGTATGCTGCCTTCTACAGAGTGTCTTTTTCAGAGACATCCATGCTTCTTTCAACATGGCAGGCCAATTCTTACTGTTTTCAATGTAATACAGTTCAAAAATAATAACTTGTGTATTTTTTATTAGTATTATTTTACATACTGTCCCATTTTTTGGAATTGGGATTTGTATAATAAGCACCGCCAAAAAGTATGAGCAAGCTAAGCAATATACTGGCAGGAAAAACTAGTGCATAAGGAAGAAACAGAGACAAAAACCAAGACTCAAAGAGGAAAACCACCAGACAGTGAAGTTAATGGTAAACTCACACTCATCCTTCTCTGACACATCTTGTCATATATGTGATTTATTTTCCTTCTCTCAAATGCCAAGAGCCTCCTGTTCTCCATGGTGTTACTATTTATGCAAAGCTCACTCAGAACAATCACATCACTGCTGCAAGAAGACCAAATTATTGTTATGATGTTCTTACCCTCTGTCTGGGCAGCAACAGCTGTTATGCCAGTCTCCTCTGTGCCGGTCTCCTGCATTAGAGTCGCGGTTTCTGTCTGGATCATGGGGTCATGACCCATATCTGTGACTGAGTTGGACGTGTCCTCAGCAAGGTAGGCCATGGCTGAGGCCTCAATACTGCTGCTCGAGTGGAACATGGTGGGTATGGCCATTCCTCTGCTCTAACTGATAAAAAGACAGCCAGACCATGAGATGGAGAGATACAAAGGTAAAATAGGAAACGTCAATTAGTGAGTCATACAAATTTCCACTCAGTTAACAACATAGTGAGCCATTAGCATGGAATGTTGACGATGACAAATGGACTGCGCTCTCTCTCATTCACTTCTTCACATTGTGTCTCCTCCACACAGAGCTGTGTGTGAATGAGGGGGTCAGTGGTGGGGGCGACGCGGGCAGGCGTGTATTAATAGCACCAAGAGGTTTTGGCATACGCAGCACTGCATGCCTCTCTAATCCCTCAGCTGTTTTAGTCACTCTTTCTTTTCCTAACACATACACTCCCCTGTCCCTCTCTTGCCAGGTCCAGTCAGCTGTCTCACTCCCACTCTCTCTTTTTTTTTATCCTTTCTTCTAGTCTGCTCTCCCCTTTCCGTTCAGCTTTCTCTTTCGCCCCCTGTAACCCTCGTCCTTCTCCTCCTCTGCCATTTTTCCATCAGGGCAATGCACCATAACTATGCCTTCACTTCTTCAATGCACTCTGTCTGCTCTTAAAGAGACACTCTCTAAAGAGACATTTCTCTAAAGCCCTAAGACATGACAGACGGTCCAACTTAAAGACATTGCAAATGCAAAACCTCAGAATTTTACAGGAGAAGGCAAAAAAACTTTTTCCTAAAGTTAGACCATTTCCTTTGCACACAATGAACAGGACAACTGGCATGTTTAAATTCTGTAAAAGTCAAAAGAATATGCATGTGCTCATTTGTACATACACTGATCAGCTATACCATTAAAACCACCTTGTTTCTAAATTCATTGTCCATTTTATCATATTCCACTTACCATATAGGTGCAGTTTGTACTCCTACAGTTACGGGCTATAGTCCATCTGTTTCTCTGCATACTTTGTTTTTACCCTGTTCTTCAATGGTCAGGACCCCCACAGAGCAGGTGGTGTATCATCATTAGCACTGCGGTGATACTGACGTGGTGGTTTTAGTGTGTGTTGTGCTGGTATGAGTAGATCAGACACAGCAGTGCTGCTGGAGTTTTCAAACACTCACTGTATCCACTCACTGTCCACTCTTTTGTCAAATGATGGTTACATGCAGTTAGACCAGACAAGGCATATTAGAGTGGACATTTTGTTCTACAGATAGCATAGCACTATTCCTCATGCTCTACACTATTTAGTCTCACACATATTCTGACCTCTCTCACCTGAAACACATAAAAACACACAACATAAGCAGACATAACCCACCCATAAAAACTGCAGACAAAATTATGGTTATAAAAGTTGGTTACATATACTACGGACAAACCAGAGGAAAACAGCCAATAAGTTCAGTCCAGCCTCGCAACGTCAACTGTTAAGATGGTGGTTCTTCTCAGCTTACGCAAACTTGGAAGACAAAACAGAACCTCTGCTCTTCTCGTGGTTCATTCACTCCAGCTCTTAACAGTGCATCTGATTGCGCTTTAGCCGGTACAAGCAAGAAGCCCACACATGCACCCACGCTCTCTTGATGGAACCTAATCCCACTGGCTCCTGGCCAACCAGGAATATGTGTGTCAGACGACCTGAGTGGCCAACTGAGCTCCTAGTTGCCAAGTGCTCAAAATAATTTCAAAACATTAATAAAAATGACAGCCTTTTCACTATTTTACTTTCTTATTCGCCTCTTTTAAGCATCTGTTTTTATCTATCCGTCATACGACAGATGGCTAATACAGCCTTCTCCCCAAGGCCTTGTAAAAGTCGCCCCCAGATATTCCATCTATCCTCACAAACATAACTCACATACCCCTGACTCACTCACCAATCACTGCACAACACGTGCCATAGCAACCAATCGGGGTCTTTGTTTACCAAAACAGTCGTAAATGAAATCAGTGAGTCATCAGGTAAATGGTTTTGAAGGATTTATTTTCACCTTTTCTGGTGCAATCAATCTATTAATAAACATAAAAAGGAAAAAAGGGACAGTTAAAATATAAGCTCATCAACCAATTAAAATAATTTCAAAATGGCTCCACAGCCAAGAAAATACATTCAATCAACATTTCATCTAGTCACAATTTTCTTAAAAACAACAGACTCTACCGTAACGGTAGATGTGCCTTTATCGTTAATTAAGAAAATTGCAGTTTCTGAGGAAAAAAAAGGAAAATGTCAATTGGAGTCAAGACATCAGTAAAACTGTCCCATCCTCAAGTCTGGTGGAATCAGTGCCATTTCTTTAATATTTGAAATGTTCTAAAAGACAGGTTGTATTATATATGCCTTCAAAGACATGAAACAGTAGAATGAAATGAATTAGGCTATATTTTTCTTCATTTGAGGGATGTGATTGGAAATGGATTAGTGAGCTAAAAAGACAAACAATACTAAGCAAATCTAGAATCACTAATGTAAAAACTCCCCAATACCCAAATAAATCCAAATAGCATAGTCATGCTGGGATTTGGTGACATCACAATTTGGATAACCAGCAAACCCAGGATAGGACAGCTGGAATCAGTATTTTAAATGAGCTTTCTTTCATCAATAAAGAGAAAGAGGCCTTCTAGAGTTTGAACTATACTTTCTATCTAGACTTCTATTAAAAACTACATGATGTAGAACAAACTTAAAGCAGGAACAGCCTAAATATACTTGTCTCCTTATTAATTATACCTAAAGCTAAACTCTTCAACAAATAAATTACTAAAACGTGCCTCCAATCAATTGGTTTACATTACAGACATCCTTTGTTACAGGGATCTCACTGAAAAACACTAGCACAGCTAACAATGACTAAAAGACAGGTAGTGTCAATGTTAATTGACCCCACTAACTTCAAAGTCAGAACGTCATAGCTAATAATATGAGCATTTTTAAAGTTGTTCCTTCACTCTGCTCAACTCTTGCTTTTTAGAGTTGGGAATCCAAAAGGCCACACACTGTGCTGGGTTTAAGTGCACAATACATTCAGTTGTGTCTCTGACTCACAGAGCAAGTTTGGAGTTTGGACATCTGATAAGTCTGAATTTTTAAGCCAATCACAAATGTCTAGCCTTCATGGTGGTCTTTGTCCATCAAGAGTTGCGTCTATGGCCATCTACAAGTTTGCACCTACATACAAGTGATTTCGGCATGGAAAAGTATAAAGAAAAAAAACAGGCCAAGAAAAAGATCCAAATTATTCCTTTACCCTAATAAGGTAAAGGTACTGACAAACAGCATGATAAAGTTTTAGAAATGTTTGTGACTTACACAGGCAGCAGATAATCAGCCAAAAGCTGCTTCTAGTCCATAATAAACTAAAATTCTTCTACACAGCATTTCAGACTCAGGAGTGCAATGTTGATTTCTAGAACTTGAGTGTTTCTGTTTGCATAAACAAAGTAAAAATACGATCACATGTCAGTTTCTTTTCAAACTGATATAAACAAACAAATCTATTCCTTAAACAATTTCTGTGGAACTGAAAAAAAAACAACAAAATCTAAGTGGAAGTAAGTGAATGCATAGTCCCTTGTCTAAGTTTGAGTGACATTTTAACTGAACAGTGTTATGGGTACCAAGCACAATATGGTGAGGGTCCTGCTGCCCTAAAGAGAACCGCCCCACCAAGTGAGAGAAGACACTCTAGTGCAACCTTTGGTCTTGGGGTCACAGACATATCCCATAGGGCAACAGTGCTTCATGTCCTTACAACACACTGCCTAGAGAAGAGAGAAAGGGAGAGATATGAACAAATAAGAAAAATCACTCAGAAGCTTGAAGTGTCATATTCAACAGAGACAGAGACAATCTACTTGTGATGATGTCACTGCAATATGCAGAAACAAACTAAGGGCTGGCTTCCCACACCCAGATTAAGGCTAATCATAGACTAAAAAGAATTTCAGTGATCACCCAGTGTTTCTTCTGAAATCAAGGGTATTAATAGGGAGTTTTCCCCCCTTTTGTTGCGGTAACCACCTCCACTCCTCTGGGAAGGATTTACACTAGATATTGTAGTATTGCTGTGAAGATTTCATTCAGCCACAAGAGCATTAGTGAGGTCAGGTACTAGTGTTGGATGATGAATTCTGGATCACAAACGTCACTCCAACTCATCCCAAAATGGTTCCATCACTCCAGAAAACACCCATAGGTGATAACTGCCATTGGGAATGCTGACCTTAGGCTCATGTGTGGCTGCTCTAGAGCACCCTGTTCTATTGACAATGCTTTTCTGAAGACAGTATACAAGCTGCATATGCAATTCAACACCTTTTTCAGTAATGGGTGCACCTTAAGGCTGAATTCTCTAATTAGAAAGGGTGTCTAGAAACAATGCTGGAGCCAGTACAGCTGGAAATTTTACCGTCACAGTAGTTTCACAGTAGATATTAAAATATTATATAATACCTGCTTAAATGGACAGCAGGCCCATTCCGTGTCAGACATTTTACAGCAGGTTTGAGTCTTGGAGCACTGACTTGTTGCATCACAGGTCAGCTCGTCTCTGGAGTGTGTGTGTACGAGTGTGAGTTCAATGGTATGCGTTGTGGACAGTTTGATGCAGGTTCCAGCCTGAATGTCACAGGTGTAGCCCTCGGGACAGCAGTGCACATGGTCCTCACAACACACCGCCTAGACAAAGAGAGAAACTGTTAATGCATCTCTACACACATACTTACATTTGGCTGCAGCTGTAACAAATAAAATGTAGACCACTGACATTTACTGATACACATGCTCACACAAACACAGGAAACAAAGTTTAAAGGGGAATTTCTTTTTTATTTCTGCATAATTCGATCATTGAAACATTCAGAATTGTTTGATGTGAAACGGTTGTTCTTCTTTACAGTGGTTGTGAGAAAGAACGGTGGTCACAATGTCTACAATGCAAATAAAACCATTTTATTTGCTCTCCAAAATCACCTATGTGTTTTTATATGTAACATTGATAATGGTAAAATAGTTGTAAATCTACAATTTGAGATGCCAATATTTGAATATTGAAAATCAATATTCTGGTATTAGTTACGTTTCGTCACAGAAAGACAGACATATACAGGTTAACAATACGCGCAAAACCGTGGCGTTTCACTGTTATTTGCAAGCAAGTTTATGTTACACCTTACTACTATAAAACAAGTGCCAGAACATGAGTGTTTTGCCAAGGATGCAGCGTTAAGGACGAGATTGAGAAGTATGTAGACAGATGTAGTGCGGCTGTACCACTAAGTAGGCTAGCACTCTAGCTAAAGATAGCTAGGTCTACAAACAATGAAAATAAATTTCTCTGACATGTTGGCACATCATCCGCTGAGAATAAGACCAGTCCTGATCAGCATCCAGCGTGACCCCTGTTAGCTTTGATAGCGCATTGGCCTATTTAAAAAAAAATAAATAAAAAAAGCAGCCTCCATCACTCCGTTGTTGTTGAATAATAAAATATGTTAAGACTTTTTTTTTTGGCACTATTGATCTTTGCCTGCAGTTAATTGGATATCCATTCATAAACTTATACACACACACACACACACCCCATCTAAACCGCTTATCCTTCTGGGTCACGGGGGGGGCGGTGCTGGAGTCTATCCCAGCAGTCACTGGGTGGAAGGCAGGATACACCCTGGACAGGTTGCCAGTCCATTTCAGCGCATTAATTTATACAGATACATATATATCAAAATTAGGAATCGGAATGCACGTTCCTACTCTCCATCATGAATACGTTTAGAAAAAATCCAAAATACCCCTTTCAAGAGAGACAGTTATATGCACAAACAAGCACCTGACAAGTGAAAAATGTAACAAACACATACCTTGACATGTGGGCAGCAGCCCCACCGCCCTGTAGATAATCTGCAGCACGTGCTACCTGTTGGGCAGCTGATAGTGGAGTCACACTTCACATTCGCGACTTCATTCATGAACTCTGAGCCAACAGTAACTTTGGCCTCCTTCTTACGGAACCATGGAAACTCAAGGTGGCCTTTAATGCAGGTGGACTTCTTTGTATCGCAGGTGTAGCCATTAGGACAACAGTGATCGCCATCCCCACAGCACACAGCCTGCACAGAGAGAGAGGGGAGACAAATTATGCAATTTTTATTTATTTTTTATTTACACACCATTTGCCCTATGTTCATGGTCAAAGAACCAAAGAAGTTGGCCAGAATTATCAGGATTGATAACTCGTTACTTTAACATTACGTTAAAGTAATTTTTTGTGGGAGGGATAAACTATTCATAGTATTTAAAAACAAAATATTCTGATACATATTGTGTATTGTGAAAATGTCCAAGTACCATATTTTCATAATTTATTGCTCACCTCTAAGGATGGGCAGATGGTTTTAATTAAACAAACCATGTGCACATCCTTCTAAATTTGTGTATGAAGAGTTTCATTCCATAATAATAACAACAACAACAACAACAACAACAATTTTGTAAATAAGTTTTTTTTTAAAATAAATAAATAAATAACAGCTGACATAAGCTGCGTTCCAAAGTCTAGGCTGAAGCCTACGTTCGGAGTGATTTCAGGGACATAACTGATGTATGCTTCCAGGCCTTTGGTTACCAACAGTTCTGTGCTCACAAATGACATGAAGGGGGGGAAAAAAAAAAAAAACAGCATCATGAAAATGGCAAAAAAACAAAGTCGTTGGAGCAGAGCTTGTTTTAAAATGTAAGTTGATCACGTCCTAGAATTCGTTTTCGCTATTAAGGAGGAGTCTTCATAGGACAGTCCTACCGAGGACATGCCCTACCTCAGTTGCAGCCTAGGCTTTGAAACGCAGCTATAGTCACATTGTTTGGGCACCCCTGGTCAGATTACATGTTTCATTGATTTTCTAAGTGAAAATAAGTGATAAAGACATCTACAGACAATTCCACACATTTTACTGTGCAATTACTGTTTATTTGCTGAATTTAATGTTTTGGGGGACAAAAAAAAATGTTTGGCCTCTGCAAAAGTTATTAATATTTAAATTTAATATTCAAGGTTTTATTTTTTTCAAAATGTTAAAAGCAGCAAATAAACAGAAATTTTACACTAGATTTTGAGGAAAATTGCCACATTTAAGTGCGTTCCCTGTAGACGATTTGTTAAAATAAAAACATAACTTCTTTAATAAAGATGGTTACTAATCATAACAAAGCATTAATATTTCTTGTTTGTGTAAATCCTACTCAACAATGTATATAATTAATAAAAGAAAATCTTTGAAAGTGGTCAATAATGGACCAAAACCCTTCTTATATACACAGAGATACAATGGTGTTATCACGCCTTCCTCTAACCTTCTTCTCTTTGTGCATTGTAACGGTTTATGTAGCATGTTTGTGTCTGATTGTATGTATGGTGTACTGGGCTATGCGTGCCTGTACACAGTGTTTCTAACCTGAGGCAGTGGACAGCAGCCCCATTTGTCGAGTTTTCTCATGTAGCAGCAGGTATTGTCTCTCGGGCAGCTGGTTTGTGCATCACACTGTCTGTGCTCAGAGCCTGCCGCTGCTGAATCAGCATTAGCATCAGCCTTAGCATCAAAGTGCTGAGTTATGCTCAGCACTGCAGGCTGCTTCCTGAACCACAGCATATGGGGGAGGGAGGGGTGCTCACAGGATTCGTGAGCGACATCACATTTGTAGCCCTGAGGACAGCAATGCTCGTGATCATCACAGCAAACAGCCTAAAGTGAGAGCAAAAAATAGAATAAAATAAAAATAGCTAAAATATACATTTCATCAGAAAAGCACCTCACAGGCATACTTACCCACTACCCTTTACATTCTCCTTGAAACTTCTAACCAGTACACACACATGATTACACAGCAGCTTTGGAAAATGTCCCCAAGTTTAACATTTTTACCCCTTAAATCAACACAAGATTGCTCTAAAGGGTGTCAAGCACTTACAAGAACTGTGACTAACCATATTGTTCATATTGACTAACAATATTCTCATCATGTGAATGCATGATCATATAAACTTGTGCATGAAAATCATGTGAATGCAGCTTCCCATTTTCATCATGAACATCCAGTAAGAGCAACAATGCCTGCATATTGTAATCAGTGAGTGTCAATATCATGCACAACACTGTGCAAAAGTCAGAGACCTTCATGTATTTAATTTGCAGTCAACCCAACCACTAAGCACAAGTTATTCATTTTTCAGGGTCAGGAGAAAAAGCAGAAAACATGCATTTAACAGAGAATGATACAGAAGCCTCAACAACTGAATATAGCATCAACCTTTTTAGCATTTAATGTGTCCACCCTTTGTCTTTATTACAGCGTCCATACTTTTCAGGAGACTTTCTTTCAGTTTTTCAAAGAAATCTGCAGGGATTTTTTTTCCACACCTCTGAAGTTCAGTTTTAGCAGTTAGCTGGAGTTTCTACTTCTCACAATCCATTTAATCCCAAACACATTCAGTAATGCTGAGGTCTGCACTTTTATCTATCTCCTTTTTCTTTAACAGCTTCTTGACAGCTACACATCCTTTCAGACTAGCGCTGAGTTGTCTTTTCACAGTGGAAAAATGGCTCAAGATCTGAAGCAAAAGTGGAGCTTGATTTTCTCCTGTCTGTCAAAGATGAAAGCTTTAAACACTGTTTATCTGCTGGTGATAGTTTAGATGGTCTTCCAGGTCTTTCACTGTGTTAAGAGTCCAATCTTTTATATCTTTTAATGCTATTTTTCAACTATTTTTAAAACTATATTAACTTTCCCCTTTAATCCACTTCTACACATCTAATCTTGCTAAAAACACAAATCCACATCTAATCTGGTCAGAAAATGGTTAACTTGTATGTGATTGCCATTTTCACAGGAAATTAAATCAATTATGGAGTTTTGCACAGTACTGCATGGACAACTTCTCTGTGACTGTAGTCTCTCACTCATTCATACAGCTTGTGAATTCTTGTTATGATAAAGGTTCTCGAGGGCAAATGTAACTTTCCACTTTACTACTGCAATTAGATTGCTGCTAGTTGATTTATCCATAGCTCTCCCACAAGCACTGCCGAGAGTAGTTTTCTACAGGGACTGTTTTAAAGATAATTTAAAAGGATTTTTGAACTACCTCACATGTTAACATGAACATGAGTTACCAGCACAAACAAACTGAGATTATTCATAAGTAATTATTTTACAACTGGTCCAAAAACCAAAGTGAGAGAGTAAAGTGACGAGAAGAAAGGAGGTTTTCTGCTGACATACTGTACAGCTGGGAGTGGAGGTGTTGGGTGTTTTTACGCGATGATAGGTCAGGGTGGTGGGAGAGGGAGTGAAAACAAGATATTACTGGTTAGTATAATTTTTTCCTGCTCCTGGAACACTGTGACACAATGAAACATTAAGGAATTTACAGAGACGGGCAAAACTCAACATGCTTTGAACAAAGAATACACCAAAACAATTTGACACAATGGATTGAGCTTATTGTGACCAATGACAAACTAACCATAAAAAGGTAAAAAAAAAATGCATTAAACAACAGGAAACCGCTACCAAAACTAAACTAATGCAAAAACACAACAAACCCAAACCTCGTATATGTATGAAATGCTCATAAATTTCAGTCAGTGAGTAGAAAAAATAGCCATTAAAGAAGTCACCTGTATGTCTACCAAAGTCTTGATTTGAAGGGACGTGCAAGGCAATAGGCTCAAAAAGTATAGCAAGAGATCAAAAAGAATTAGTTTCCTGCATAAAAATGTTAGTATAGTAAAAAAGTAAGTATAGCAACAATTCATATTTAACTGTCAGTTCATCACTGGTCATTTGAACCCACTATGCCCCTTTAGACTTTTTTTTTTTTTTAAGCAAATGTGTGTACCTGTGGCAGGGGACAGCAGGCCCAGGCCCCCGACTTCTGCCGACAGCAGGTAGTGCCAGCTGGACAGGCTGAAGTCTCATCACACCGGTCATTTTCAGGTGGTGGGGCTACAGCAGGTGTCTTGCTCACCCAGGGCACTGCCAAACGCACACCATCACCACTGACGCTGTCACACGTGCCGGCAGCCACGTTACACACTGTATTGTGGGGACAGCAGTGGAGGTGGTCCTCACAGCACACAGCCTACAGAGAGAAGATGAAGTGTATGTACAGGTATAACAAAAACATAATAGGGGCCACAGCTCTGCAGAGATTAGTGCTTTTTAATTAACTGAGGAGTTGAATTAGATGTGTTTAAACAGGACCTATTATGCTTTTTCCGGTTTTTTTGCCTTCCTTTAGTGTGTTTTAAATCTTTTTGTGCATGTTAACAGTCTGCAGTTTTACAAAGCTCAAAGTACATGCCAGAGGGAGTGACCCTCTCCCACAGAAACCACTTTTCATAGCTGCCAGAAATGCCTGGTAGGAATTCCAGCCCTCTGCATTTGTTAGAAGATGATGCAATCTTTAATGCAGTCTTTAATGCCCATCTCCTGGCAAGCTTGGCACACCCTCATATAACACGCAGCAACTTCTGGAAACTGGGAAGAGTTTATTCAGTTTTGTAGCTATGTTGAGAAGATGCTGACCTGGGGCTGGATTCACAAAAGTGTCTTAAGAAATAGAACCTTCTTAAGTGTGTTTTTTTTCTTAACTTCATTCTTAAGAAAAAAGTTATGCGAAATTGTTACTCTTCAAATAACGTCTTAAGAATTCTCTTATTTTCTGGTCTTAACTATTTTCTTAAGAATAATTCTAAGAGCAAGTGGTCTTCTTGAAAATATTAGGTTCTTAAATGTTTTCTTGACGTTACGATAGCTTCACACTTGTCTTAAGCTGTAAGAGTTGACAAGGTCAGCATCTAAATTTGTCATGGACGCTGCCTTTGCTGCTCCTGCCCATCTTCATCCACCACCCACCATTATCATGTTTTCCACTTAGGATTTTTTTCCTGTTGGCTGTTTCTTCCACCATCACCTCTAGATCTTGTTTGCTATCTTTTTTAATAGTTGGTTTGACATTTTTCCTCCATTTTGCTCCTCTGGGCAGATTAAACTAAATAACAGAAATATCTGTTAATAGAAAGTCAAAATGTATCTTGCTCAGTTATGGTGCGGGGTAGAATGCAACGTAGCATACATGAGAAAACAATGAAGATTTTCTTAAGCGAATCTTAAGAAAATAATTACGATTATCTTTGGAGAATATTTGAGAACTTCTTAAGTTATTTTCAAGAACTGCACGCTCTAACCGAGCGACAAGGGGTGAATAGAGATGTACAGTATGAAAAAAATAATGTGTTTTAGTAACATTGAAGCATATAAATCTATTCTAGTAGACCCCAAAAATAACGTTACAAACACTGAAAATGAGCGTAATAGGTCCCCTTTAATGAAAAAGTACACCAAGCTCTGCAGTACTGTGGCCCTCCCGGACTGAGTGCGATACCTCTGACACCTGGGGAATCATTTGTTTTTTATTTGAATTGTGAGGATGTGTGCAGGAGTGTATGAACCTGTGGAAGAGGACAACATCCCCAGGTCCCAGATTCCATTTTGCAGCAAGTCGTACCCTTGGGGCACGATGTGGACTGGTCACATTTTTGATCGAAGGATTGTGGGGCCCTCTGGACAGCTGGCACTTTCTCCATCCAGCCAATGAAGGGCCAAGTACCAGCAGGGTTATCACATGTCCCTTTTGTAAGGTCACACACTGTGCCCCGAGGACAGCAATGGATGTGGTCCTTACAACACACCGCCTGGCAAACAAACATGGACTTCACTAATGGCCATCCAACTCAAACTGTACACACAAAGCCTTACTGTACTACAATATAATGTGCAACTAATGTGTTGCTAGGGGTGGCAAATATGAACTCAAATTTATATGACATTTTTAAATTTGTGGACAATTATGATGTGTCAAAATAATACTTGTAAACACAAAGATTGGAAACGATTAAGCCAAACCAATTTGGGCTACTTTGGGGCTTATGATGATGAAAAATTATAAAAGGTCTGTCCCCTGTTATTGACCAGTACCTGTATTCATTCCCACCCCTATGTGATGCTATACAACCGAACACCTTTTCATTTGTTTAATTTCCAGTCGAAACATCCATTTTTAGCATCAAGTAGAAAGCATATTTAACAGAAATTTACACAGAAGCCAACAACTAAATCTAGAAGCAATTTTTTAGTAGCTGTTGTGTCCACCCTTTGCCTTTGTCACAGCTTCCATTCTTTTCAGGAGGTTTGCTATCAGTTCTTCCAAAAAATCTGCAGGTATCTTTCTCCACATATCCAAAGATTAGAGTTTTTTTGCATTTTCTTCTTCTCCCGATCCAATTAATCTCAAACATATTCAGTGACATTGAGGTCTGGACTCTGGGTTGGTCAGTCCATTGTTCTGAGAACATCAGCAGCTTCTTTGTGTGATAAATATGCCCAAATATGAATTAAATATTTATAGATTTGATATTTTAGCATAATAATTTTGTGTGATTTTCTGTTATATATGCATTCCTGTTTTTTCTGATGCTTAAATGCCATGTGGACTGGAAATTATTGTATAAACAGTTGTCTCTTGGTGGTCTTTCACTTTTGCCCAGCACTGTGTAAGGGAGTGCAAAATTATTCTTAGTGCAAGGTTTTCAATGGATACCTCTGGCAGTGGACAGCAGGCCCAATCACCATCTTTTTTCTTACAGCAAGTAGTGTCACTCTCACACGCTACCGAGTCATTACAGGGTACTGACTCCACTGCACACACAGAAAGGAGACAATGTCATATATAATAATATTTTTATGAGCCAACTACTTGCCCCTGGGTTTCATCACTGTGCAATTTTTACCCTGATCTATACATTTTTGTTTAAAAAAAAATCCGGTTTTTGCTGTAAAATACTGGACGGATACAAAATCAGTCAGGAAAATTATGCGCCTCATAAGATGTTTGATGCTCTAAAGCAATTTTTCTTGTTAACTTTTAAGATGAGTATGAACTAGTGTTTAATCATGACAACTGCAATAAGAAGCAATGGTAATGAAAGCTATCCAGCGCTTTTGCCAGGAGCGTGCATTATAGGTTATGTTTACATCATGTACCCAGTCACCATCCAGTAGACTAATAAAGAAGGCGGTGGTCATTTACCTGGCACCCTCGAGTGGAAGAGAGGTGGAATCTTGGTAGCTATTGCTTTGAGCCCATTGGCTGAGACACAGGTACTGTGAACAAGGTCACAGGATGTGCCCTCTGGACAACAGTGCACATGATCAGAGCAACACACTGCCTACAGAAAGGAAGAACACAAAATTATACACAGGCGCAAACACTGGAGAAACAAGAACGTTTATTCACATAAAATGCATACCTTTGGCATTGGGCAGCAACCATAGCTCCCATTTCCTAGTGGGCAGCAGGTTGTATCATCTGGGCATGCAGAAACTTTATCCGGACAATCCACTAAAGAGACAAAGACACACATCCGCTTTAGGTCAAGTGGTGCATTATCATATAATGTACAAACTGCAGTCTTGTGAAAGCTTGGCAAATAAACAAAATGAAGAAAAAATATTAATATAGGGTTCTACCTGGCAAGTGTACTTAAGTACTCAATGTCTTACTATCATTAATGCCTGTCAATTTTACTGCCAGCTCCTTTGTACTTGCATATGAATTGACATGAAGCAAAAGATAAAAGTGTATATACACTGTTATTTAAATATTTTGCATCATTATTTTTTAAATAAAATAAAATGTATAGAATGATTCTCTTATGGGGCAACTACTCTAAAGATTTCAACTACCAACTCTAAGTAGCAGAAAGCTGTGGAAAAAAAACAAAAAACAAAAAACAAAAATATTAGATGTGTCCAGGGTGATATAGAGCTTTCCCAGTCATTTAAGGAATCATTGACAGCTCTATTGATCATTGAGGAGGAAGATATAAAACAACTAAAGTCCTAGAGTATGGGTAGTATTGATCAGAGATGGTTTTGGAGGGAACATGTGGTTTATAAACAGTTAAAATTAGCTAATTAACTGGTCTGTTTTTGCAACTCTAAGAGCCAAGCAGCATTATCTTGACTGAGGAACGTTTCTCCATTTAGTGTTATTTAGAAAGAAGACAGCTGGCCTTCTTGTCTTCTACTGGCTGACACTTTCCGAGTTTGGCAAATTTGCAGGGTTAAAGTTTACCTAGATGAACTCGGCGCAAAGTGAAATGTAGTGATACCAGAAGCAAATTAATTTTTCGCGTCCTTTCCCGTTTAAATCAATTGGCTTTGGCAGGCAGACTTCACTCGCCTTCAGCATGACCGCAGCTTAACATCCAGAATGCCTCATATTTTAAATGTGGTGATACAATTGATTTAAATCTTTTCAATTTATCTGAAAATTGTAGAACAATGTCATACCTGCTCTATTTTTCCCTTGTGCTCTGCGGTGTGCAGGGAATTTTCCCCTCAGAGGGGTGGAGCCAAGCATAGATGACATACACCGAGAGTGAGGTATGTCACAGGTAGTGCCCTGTGGACAGCAGTGCATTTTATCTTCACAACACACGGCCTACACACACACACACACACACACACACACACACACACACACACACACACACAAAAAAAAACAAATCATGTTATAAAGACACTGCAACCAACCACTGACAAACACATGCACACAAGGCCTGCAGGCTATGAACAAAATTCCATATTGCAAGTACATTCCTATATACTACAATTCTGATCTACAATACATTGAAAACACACTGATAAGTCTTTGATGTAACATGGCTAACAAGTGAAGTGCATTATTTTCACCAAAATTATTCACATTTGTTGGATCATATGAATTCATCTGGATCAACTGAGGTTTGGTTAGGATGTTCACAGTACACAATAAAAAAAAAACTTCATCTGTCAGAGGCTCATTTGTATGTGGCAGCCTTCTGTGGTATCAGTATTGCAAAGGTCAGTGTTGTGTTAACAATTAATAAACAAATATGATACATACATTAGGCATAGGGCAACAACCCCAGCTCCCATCAGGTAACTGGCAGCAGGTGGTATCATCAGGACATTCAGATTCCTGGTCTGGACACACCACTGCCTGCAAGTCAAACAAATACAAACTAGAGAGTAAAATGACATGTCTAAACCAAAATAACTATACAAGTATAATAAACTGCCACATTAAACTAAAGAAGCGGAGCTTTCTGATAATATGCCACATATAGTTTGGTGCGTTTATCCCTCTTATATCCTGGGTCTGATCTAGTTCTGCAGTCTTTTGTATTGCCGCCATAAACATTTATCTCCCGCTGTGTAGTCAGTAACAGCCTGAGTTAATGTTAGTTCAGGTTGTTATTGAGGGAACAAATGTTAGAGAAATATATGGAAGGAACCGCCATTCTCTTGGGGTAACAAGAGTCCTTAACACGCATACATACAAATACGTACACATACATACATACATACATATAAAAATCTCAACATATTCCAACAGGTAAATGCCATTCATTCAAGCCTGATATGTAATCACTGTCATTGTATGACACAATGTACTGTTCATCAGAGCGGGCTGACTGATAAGTGTGCATGTGTATTTTACTTGAGGTAGACTGGACTGCTTAACGGCAACTCTCTTCACCCAGTCTAGAGTGTGTGTCTTGTTAACACACTTGGAATGCGCTAGATCACACAATGTGCCTTCATAACAACAATGCAGATGATCTGAACAGCACTCTGCCTGCAAAAACAAATACACACACATCCGCTATTTTACCAATTATAGAACTATGGACATGTCCTTAATAATACTTAATAACTAATAAATTACTAAACGTATTTTTAATATTTTGAAATGATAAACAGACTTGCAATGCAGCGACACTTACATTAGGGAGTGGGCAGCAGCCGTACCCTCCTGATGGTGTCTGGCAGCAGGTGTTTCCGTCATCACACATTCTTCCATCAGGACAGATGAGAGCACTGCACCCGCTTAACACACACACCAACACCCACACTCCCTCACGCATCTGAGAAAGAGAGAGAGAGAGAGAGAGAGTGAGAGCGAGATCAGTGACATTCATCTGCTCCCAAGTTTATTTTTTTCCTCAAACCCTTACATACAGACACATCGTCCCATCTTTCACACCCTGAACTATGTCCAGAGTTAAGCTGTAGCCTTTTGTAAAATTTTCTCCAGGCCCAGAATCCCCCAATTTCTTCCTAGCCCCAATACCTTCATGCATAGAGAGGGATCACATAGAGAGGGATCACAGTGAATTACAATTAGGGCTGAAATTCAAAGTGTATTTATGGTACAGACCAAACTACTTCACTTACCAAATATTAAAAGGTTCCGTCATTCTGTACCAAGTTTGAAATATCCCAAGTATGTTTTTTAGCCTCAGTGAGGTAATATGCATACCTCTTGATTAGCCTGCAATCCGCTACAGTCAGCAAATACACCCACTTCCAGTACCACGCCCTCTTTCAGTTAGTAATTTTCAAAGACACCGAGCCTTAGACATGCTAAGAACTTAAGAACTAAAAAACTTCCTATAGCTTCAGCTTGAATGGGCAGGGCTAGACTGCTGTAGACAGAAATATGTAAATGTACTGTTTGTGATATCACATTCAAAATGGGCTGAATCTTTTTTTTTTTTTTGCAGCCTACTTTCCATATATGAGCTGTATGGACGGGGAGAGAATGGTACATTTTGACAAATTTTAACAAACTTTACAAACCAGTCAGGAGAATTCAGTTTATCATGATATGTGCCCTTTGAACTGACCTAAATATGGGTTGTGAACATGTTTGTGTTGGATCACCACACGAGAAGGAATGTGTGTCTCTACATTTACCTAAGTGACGAGAGAAAACAAACATGGGGAAACGTAAACGTGCATATTAATGCTTCATTAATTTAGCTAAGTTTTGTAGTAGATGCATTAATCAACAGGCTGACCAGTCAGGCCTACATTGTCATGTTTACTCCTGTAGGTTATTTGCACGCTTTTCTTACTCATAACAGAGTTGAAGCTTTATCCCCATTGTTACTACTCAACAAAGTAATCAAATCAAAATAACAAACTGCATCCTTTTGTTTATTTCTTTCTTTTTTTGGAAAAGCTGTCTGTTATAAATTCCCTACCAAGACATGCCATCATTCTACAATGTTTAATTAACAAATAATCCATCCTCCAAGCAATCAAAACATGTAAACAAAACAGCTGATATTATGGACAGAACAAATGTAAAGTATAAAGGGGAGAGCAAGCACCAATCCTCAACTTAAAGGAACAATACTGTTTGTAGATTAGTTTACAGAGTCACTGTCTCCATCGATAAGCTGTAAATGTGGAACCATGCTCAGCTTGCTATGCAATATTCTCAGTGTTGTAATAATTTTATGCTTGCGTCTCAGTTCTCTTGCTTGGGTCATATAAACAATGATGAGCAGTAGCTTTTCATGGGATACAAACTGCAGAAGGCTTTTTTTTTGTTTGTTTCGAAAACTACAGTTGGGCTGGTTTCCTGGTTAAGCACAGTCAGACTACACTGCAGTGCCAGTGGTGAATCATCATCGCAAATTATTTTTAGTCAAGGCTTTGGCTCTATCTGGGTGTGGGATACCGCCTCTTTATGGATAAGTTATACATCATTTATATCTAATTTATATATACCAAATCATCTGCATTTGTTTCAGTACTGGTTTCAAGCCCTTGTCAACTTTGCCTCATTATTTCCCCTTGGCGGAAGCCCCAGTACCATCTTAAGGGAAGTTCGATCATTAAAGATTCCTCTCACACTGGACACAAACTTTTTTGGACTTCCCATCTGGCAGGCGCTACAGAACCTATGTACACTAAGAATACTATACACAAGAGCAGTTTCTTTCCTCAGGCCATCACCCTTATAAACCGCTGACCAGTAATATCACCTGCTAGACCACAGCTACTTCTGTTTTCTCTAAATAGTTATTACACCCTGCTTCACATCCACACTGTTGTACATCACAATTTTATTCTCATACATGATGTACACTACTGTTGGTTTGCACTACCACACACACTTATGTATGCTGCTTGTCCCTATATAATCTTATGTTACTTGTATATTGTGTTTTATTTGTCTGTAAATTATATATACAGTCTGTATATTATTGTTATGATGTCAGCTTATTGCTTGTTTACTGTGTGTATCTTGGATATTGTATATTGTCTGTAAATTATATGTACATTGTCTGTATTATACATATTATACTAGAGCGACACCAACAGCTGGAATCACATTTCTTGTGTGTGTCAACATACTTGGTTAAAAAATCTGATTCTGATATTAGCGCAAATGAAGGGTGTTAGATAAGCCCTGAAAGAGGCGAGAGATCAAGTGATCACAAGCGTCGACTTCAGAAGCACAACCTGAAATCACAGCGATCTGACAACTCCAAAATAATAGTGGACAGAGCTGTTTATAACCAACAGCAGTAAACTACATCAAATGTTTAACGTTTCAAAACCATAAAATTCGATTGGCCGCAGTTTAAGTTACAAACTACTCCATTTGTTATACGTTCCAAGCTCCAAGCAAATTCACATCATTCAGCTCCACACTGCTCACATACTCTAACCTGATCTCCTCAAAAAAATCTCCTGACAAATGAAATTTGTACTTAATTGCTGTTTTAACTGGAAAATAAATAATAAAGTTAGTCTCTGACCTTTACACAGTACTGTACGCATTTCATATTTTGTGTGAATGTACAAACTTACTGTTGTGTGTGTTGACTTGATTGAGCTTTCTAGAAACTGTGGCCCATTCAGATGTAAACTCACACAAGCCTTGTCTTGCCATGAAAAAAAAACACATTAAATTAACACATTAATACATCAATAGCGTAACAATACTTGTTATGGCTCATTTCTCTCATTTCTTTGTCTAAGGGGTTCAGTCACTATAAGATCAGAGTTTAAGTTGCTGCTGTGTGGTAACACCTTTAAGTCATTTCCACAAGTATTTGAATGAGTAATACACAAATATTACTGTTTCACTGTGGTTTTAGAAACCATGGGCAGTGAGGAAGTTGAGTCCAAAGTACAGAGAGGATAAACATTTCTAAACTTGTGACAAATTTATGGCCAGCCAGCTGTACCGCATAGCATCGTATATTATTTATTATTCTGACTATCAAGTCAAAGTCAACTTTTTTGGTAATTCCTAATAATCTAGATAAAAGGATTAATAATATAAGAACAATTTGCTGCAAAAAGTGGTGAAAAACTATAGGATACAGAGGTACATGAAGGGTATTGCCAGGCAAAACAGCATCCAAAGAAATGTATTTTTCCAGATTTACCACAATTTTACATCACATGTAAAAACTCACTGGTGATTCTGGACAGTAAATAAAATGGCAATATTTGTATTGTAGACATTGTGACCCCTGGTTCCTATCACCACCACTGTAAAGAAATCTGTTGAGTTCTGTAACCTGTAAGTGTCCCTACAATGAACCACGTCACATCAAACAACTCTGAATGACTTTATTTACACATCAACGACTGAATATTGCAAAGATATAAAATATACGTGGAAACTGCTGTGACCCTCTTCTCTTTCTTAACACAAAATGAAACCAATGTCCTCCAGTAAAAGGACCCAGCTACCTCTGATGAGTCTGTGGTTTGGGGTACAGGAGGCTCAGCACTTTACAGGTGGATTTACTACATAAATGATGAGGGCTTTTGAAACCAAGTCAGTATTCGGTAGTAGTATCACCACATTCTTCATGAACGAGTAAATCACTTTATTATCAGGGTGAAACGGAAGACATTTAAAACCAGTGGATCACCAATAGTAGTAGGTATGTTAGTTATGACTTTTTAAAACACCTTTGCCAGTTTGACACCGTTCGAGTCTCAGTATCTCAACATGAGCTCAAACGTCAATTATTTTGTGTCGCACTGAAGAGCAATACTACTGTGCAACTCTATGGACTAATGTTAAACACTACTTTTAAATTATTATATCATTTTAAAGAGTCCCTTTGAAAAACAAATAACTCCTCATATTCTCTCTGTTAATATTCACCACTATAACAGGCTAACTGACGTCAGCTAGGTTTCATTGTTTTTCATTGTGGAGCACAAACTGCAGCGTTAGCCAGTTCAAAGCTAGCTAAATGGCTGTTAACCAACAAACGCTCTATAAAAGCACTGGTAATATACAAATCACTTAAAATGACCACTTACCTGGTCGGATGGTGAATAAAAAGCCTCACAGATTATTACTTTCTAAAAAGTCTAAAGAGCTGAAGTGCTGAATAACAGAAGAACCCAGTCAGACGACCTATCACGTGACTCAGCTCACGTGACTCAGCTTATGTCATGTGATATGATGTGTTACACATTTAAAACAATTTTTTGTAATTTGTGTCCGTGATATATCACAACACTAATGTGATATTTTACTTTACATATTTAATTGTTAATAGCCATGGATTGGTTTCTTTTGCCAGTGTTATTAAGGTTTTTTAAAATTTATCTTAATAAGATTCACGTGTATGTTGCTCAATGACCTTTATTCACCAAAGCTGCGTAAAGTGGATGTACTAATTTTACATGCACATTGGTATCAACAAGTGTTGAAATAAAGTATTTCATGTCCCATTTAAAGACATATTACACTGTACTTTTGTTTTACATTACTGAAAATGAAGCAATACAAATCACAGCCAGTGCAGAAGTATCTCATACACTGCAATAATACAGAATTATCCGTGTTATATTAGGAAAATAATCACACTACACAATCGCATCATTTTACCGCCTAAAAAAGTAAGACGTTTTGTTTATTTCACGTTTTATTCTTTCCAGTCGTCGTAATTTTAACACTATAAAGTTTGGTCAGTAGGTAAAGCAGTGCAGCCTCTGCTCAACCTCAAACTCGTCCTCCGAGCGCAGCCATTGGATCACGAGCTGCTGAATGCTGTCAAGTTTATTGGCTCTGTATGGTTTAGGGTGTGCTTCATGTAAATGATATGTAAATGAGGTGCTGGTAGGCTTGATTTCACGCACTGAAGCTGATTGTGCTCGAATCTGCGCACGTCCTACATAAGTGTCGTGAGTCAGACTCAAAGTGGTTCATACCTCATTACAAGCAGTCAAATATGCACTCCTTTTATTTTTAACTTCGGAGAATAAGGGCCAGTGTTTATTTTATCTGGTCCACTTATTATATAGGTGCAGTTTTGTAGTTCTGCAATTAGTCTGTGGTCCATCTGTTCCTCTGCATGATTTGTTAGCCCCCTCTTTACCTTGTTAAGCAATGGTCAGGACCTTCACAGGACCACCACAGAGTAGGTATTATTTGGGTGGTGGGTCATTCTCAGCACTGCAGTGACACTGACAATGGTGATGTGTTAGTGTGTGTTGCACTGGTACAAGTGGATCAGCCAGAACAGTGCTCCTGGACTTTTTAAACACTGTGTCCGCTTAACTCTGCCTTGTAGATGTAAAGTAAGAGAAGGCAGCTAATAGCTTCCTTGGTCATCCTCTAGTCCTTCATCAGTGTTCAATTTCTGGCCACAGGACACTGTAGGTTGGTGAATTATACCTCTCAGCCCAGCAGAGACACTGATAATATACCTGTTCAACAGTCCTATGAGGGTCCTGTCCATTGATGAATAAGATAAAGAATGGCTAACAAACTCTGCAGGGACACAGATCTGTAATCGCTGAATTACAAAGTGCACTTATAGTATCTAGTAGTACGAATGATAAAATTAGTGTACATACAATGAATGTAGACACAAGTTAGGTGCCCCTGATTAAGTGGTCAGTCAGTGTATACTTGTCAGTTTTAAATCTGTAGATTTGCTATTGAGTGCTGGTAGAATCATGTTGCTACAAAGGCGAGCAAGAGGTCAGTCAGCGTTACTTTGATATCATATCATGCAAACCTCACTTTAGGATTTTGTCACTTTCTTGCATTTTAATAGACTTAGATATTTTTACAGGTCTTATGATTAAAATGCATTTGGAAGCCAATAGAGTGAAGACCAGCTCTTGCTTCCACCAAGACACAAGAAGCCCTCATAAGGTTACAGTTTAACCTCTTATGCTTGTGGGTATATTTTGGTTTTTCCATTTGAAAGTTATGAAGAATATGACAAAGTGCGTTTTGGAACGACCTTTGGTTCCAAGGAGTTTAAAAGGTTAAAATGTTCAATGATCTTAAAAAAAAAAATGCTTATCCAGCTTACTAATTTTATAAAAGAATGGGGTCTTATCACAAGCCTATGAGTGTTAACAGCACATATTTAAAACCAAAAATGCACTGAAAAAAATGTGCTGACTTTACTTGATTTATATCCGTACTTTGGTTCCACATGAACAAATTATATTACCTCAATTCTATATTATAATATAAATAATTGTATACGTTACATAATTCTATAATATAATTATATAATGTAATATTAACTCAATTCTTGCCAAAACTGAGTAAACTGAAAGAACAACTTGCATTGATATAAAACATTTGATTCCTGTGATACCTACATGTACAAGTTTGAATCAAATAATGTCAGTGCACTTTTTTTTAGCAAACTTACAGCTGAATAAGAAAATTACAGTACATCAAGCTAACAAAGCAACTGAAAATACTTTTCCAAAAAAAGAACTTACAGTCCTCTAATATTCATCCGTTCCAATATTAATAAGGAAACAAAAAAATTCAGCTCACTTTAAAAAACATTGGCAAATGTCTCCACAGTCTCAGGAAGCCAGGGTCAATCTTTGGCTTATCTCGCTCTTTAACAGAGTTCTGCATGATGTTGATGAAGTGGTCTTCAGAAATGGATAGCTCTACTGAAATCAGTTATGATGCAGAAAAAGGATGCTTTTTGAAAATAGACTATATCCAAATGTTTTATATGTCTATACATCCCAATAGAGTTCTGGGATACCAAAAAGTCCAAGTTTATAGTGTGGGTTGTAATGGGGCTTCCATGCTGGTCACAGCACTGTCCTCGCCTTGCTGTTGTGAGGAGGTCGCCTGGTGCGAGTGCTTTGACCTCTTGCCCCTGAAGACAGTGGTCTCCTCCCCATTCTCTCCCTCTTCTCTCTCCAACCTCCCTCTCTTCACAAAATGTTGAATCCGAGACTCCAGACTCTCACAGCGTGGGACGCTCCAGCAGGGGGCGGTAGTTCCGCTGTCTGGAACCCTCCATGAGCCAGCACTCCATAGAAGAAGACGCCTTGTCTAAAGTTCAGACACATGCACACATTAGATTTTCCTGAATTTGGATTAACAGAAGATTTTTCATCAATGAACAGATATTAACAATGTGAAGTTGTGTTCACTGTAATTTTCAGAAGCAACAATCATTTTACACTCCTATTAGTAGAGATGGGCACTGATATAGGAATCACATTGGCCTTAAAAGATTGCTTAAAAAAATTATTGTTATTGGACAGACGTTAAGATTTTATTGATATTTCAAACTGATTTTGATGATGTATTTTTTTGTCCTCTAGAAGAGCAGAATGTTTAGGTGATGCACTAAAATGTTAGCATTTAATTCATTTTACATTTGTTACCCCTGCAGAAATAAACATATTTGTCTATATTGCTAATCCAGGCAGATGTGGTCCCTGTTTCTACATTTTATAAATATGTATGTGATGGCAGACATGTACACTAGCATTCAAAAGTTTAAAATCATTGTTTTTTTAATAACATAAAAACAATTTTAATAAAATGATTCTAAAAGGATGCTAACAATCTAAACGTTTCAAACAGTTTATAGGAAGACAAAGTTGTTGATTCTTCTATAATAATGGAGAATGCTGTCAATCCAAAGCTGCTTCCAGAATTACAGTAGAATGAAAGTAATATCTAGAGTTCCTCATATTTGAAAAGTAGAGACCAAATCTCGCTGATCAAATAGCTGTTAATAACTAAAATCATTTGTGAATCATTAATTTGTGAATAAACCAACAGTAGTTTATAACATTTCAATCTATGTCAAGTTATTTTTGAATAACAACTGCTAATATGACAAGAGATTCCAAACTTTTAAATGGTACCTAAAAAATATTAGACATTGACATCAGGACAAAGTTCCCATATCCCATACAGGGGCCAATCATGACTATTAGAGCTAGGCCTATAGTGCAGGCCATAAATGCCAAAACACAGTCAAAAACAAGACCTCTATGATAATGCTACTTTCTGCATCCTTATCCTGATATGATGATGTGTTGAGTGTTAAAGCCTTTTGTTTCAAATTAAACTTAACAATGAAATAAGAGAAAAACTACAGCTTTAAACTACTTCTTTAGTTCAAAAACAAGCATGATGGTTATTTTAAACAAAAATTACTTCTTTTTCCCACATAAGTCATTAGGGCTTTGTCGAAAGGCCTAGAAGGACCTGAGGGCTCGACACTGGATATATAACTATCACGTCTGATAAAAATACAGTAATGTTAAAATGATCTCAGTGGGTGCCATACAACAAGGCAGCACATATTCACACATACAAACACACCTGTAGCTGAGCTTTGCAGGCCTTGGATCATGCCGTGTAGAACCTGGGCCTTGACTGCAGTCTGAGTCCAGTGCTGGTTGAGGGAACTGAGCACATGACTCCCCTCTTCATCTTCATTGTTCCAGCTCAAGCCTTCAAAATGGCACTCATACAACACCAGCGGGTAGTCCACTGCCATACTGCACAAACACCACACAATGAATTAATAATACTGATATATATTCATCACATAATCACACAGCACCCCCTGGCCCAGCGCTGCTACACTTACAATACATTCAGTTCAAATCAATTCAATTGAAATGTATTTAGGGACAATAAGTGATTTAAAGAAATCAATAAATCAAGACAAAATTACTGATAATGATATTTTTATTGTTTAAAACCACACGTATTTAAAGGAACATTCAACATATCTGAAACAGTTACCATATGTACCAGAGGAGGGCGACAAAGCCTAAAATTCTTTTTTTAACTACAGACTGAAAAAAAAGCAAAAAGCAAGCTTTGAAAATGTACATAAACACTAATGCTGTTTTTCACACCAGACTCTGTGGTTGCTCATTGTTTCCTGGCCACTATTATTATTGACAAACTGACCAGTACAATCAACAAGCCATACGATAGCACCAGGGGGTAAGATAGTACCAGAAGATTGTCTACTTCACTCAGACCGCACACTTCAATAATCTAGTCAAAAATCTCACTATCATGCCGCTTGCTGAAAGTACAACATATCAAAGACACAGGACACTGTTCAGCCAATAAGGTCTCAGTGGCACTAAGCATACTGTACTACTTATCAAATCAGTAGTGCAGCCCACCTGTACTGAGGCTTCCTAGGATTGTTCTCAACATCCACCAGCTTATCAATGATCTCTGGAGCTTCCAGCTTCTGGCCAATCAGAAGCAGTACAGCCATCATACAGCGAACCTGCACACAATGATTCAGCACCACCACATTACAGTACTGCGTAAAAGTCTTAGGCAACTGAGAAAATCAGATTTAAAAAGCTGTTTATCTGGACAGTTACTGTTTATTTGTAATTAATTACAGCACTGTACAAAAGCCAGAGACCACCTTTTCATTCTTTAATAACCAGTCAAAACTGCCATAAAGTACAAGTTCAGCTTCAAGAAAACAGCAGAAAACATATTTGACAGAAAATTATACAGAAGCCTCTAAATAACCAAACATAATATAATTTTTTCAGTATTTAGGGTATCCACCCATTTGCTTTATTAGTTTTCAACTGTTTTTGACACTTGCTTTCAGTTTTTCAGAAAACTGCAGGGATATTTTTGCTTCGCTCTAAAGTTCAGTCTTGGCTGGTTGAATTTTCTGCTTCTCATGATCCAAGTAATCCCAAACACATTCAGTGATGTTGAAGTCTGGACTCTGGGACGGTCAGTCCATTGTTTTGAGACCAACAACAGCTTTTTTTGCTTGGTTTGCAAATTTTCTTGTTTTTCCTCAGTAATGGCTTCTTGACAGCTACACGTATCAAGCCAATATGTACTGCTCTGTAATGGCTTCTTGATTTTTTTTCAGATCTGAAGAAAGAGAGGAGCTTTTTTCCTATTACTCAAAGATGCTTTACATACTGTCTCTGACAGTGACAGTTTTGTCTACAAGGTCCTGCATATTCTCTGTATCTTTTACTACCTTTTTTAACCCTCGTTAAAACTCCAGTTTTTTCACCAATTTTCCTTTGACTTTCTCCTACCTTATACAAGTGGATCGAACCTCCTCAGAAATATCTAATTAATTGCCGTTGTGACTGGAAATTCAAGAAAAGAAACTGCACAGTACTATATGTAATCATTAAATTATGCAAATGTAATTGTAGTTATGTAATTGCTATACTGTTCAAATGTAACAACGTTCATTACTCTAGAGTTCTCAGGCTTACATCAGTCGTAAAGCCACTTGTTAAAACCAGCAATCAGTAAAGGCTGTGTGTTTGCGAGCTGACCTGGTGGTAGAGGAAAGCAAGTCCTTTGACCTCGAACAGGTAAAGCTGCTGGGGGTCAGAAGGGGAGGGGTGGCCGGGCTGAACTGGCTTCACGGTCGCAGACAGGATTGTCCTCTGGAATTGCAGAACTCCGTTACCCACATCCATCTTACACAGGTTCCTGAAGTCATGAGTTCCCTCATACCTGTACAGCACACATTCACAACTGCATGAATAAACAATGTAGTCAAGAGAGGCTAACAATTACTGACTGAGATGATTTTTGTCCCCCAATGTATTCTTTTACTGACCGCCTGGCTGCCACAGCCATGAGCTCCACATCCAGGTCTCCACGGGGAAAGTAGTACCGGTAGGTTCGGTACTGGCAATCAAAGCGTGCACTGAAACCAGTTTGCACTGGTGCCCAGCATAGCACCCTGATATCCAGAGGCAGAACCCTGTTCAACATCTTTACGTACGGGAGCTCAGCTGTGGGAGCACTACCTTTAGGCTCAACACCATCAGGAACTGTCACACCCAAACCACTGTACTGACACGAGCGGAGGTCAATGGATACTACCTGAGAGAGAGAGAGAGAGAGAGAGAGAGAGAGAGAGAGAGAGAGATTATCATTGTAATAATTTTACCACACATTTACTTTTACTCAGTGTAGTCTATCTGCTGCTTCACAATTTACCCTCCACCCCATTCATCAATGCAAAGGGACAACCATGGGACCATGACTGACCAGATATTATTTGAGCGGTGGACCATTCACAGCACTGCAGTGACATGGTAGTACGTGTGGTGCTGGTGCGAGGACCTGACAAAAAAGTCAGTGTCAGTGCTTGGTTGGGTATCGAAACTCCATACTTTTATGGTCTTAACCATGCCTGTGCCAAAATCTAGACTGCTGACTGGCTGTCTGAATTACATTCCGCATGCATGTTATTAAAAGGGGATGCATGATAATATTGAGAATGAGTCATAATGTTTGAATATTCAGTCATGAAAGTTTGAAAAAAATGAAATACTAAATTAGGGTTTAAGATACACAAATGAGCTTGTTTCCAACGTTACACAGTCTCATAAGAATCATGAGATGTCCGAAGTCTATACTCCACAAAAGTCCAGAAGGCAGAACAGAGCATGCGTCTTACATTTCTGTTTACTCCAAAGAAGAAGGTATATGAAGACTATTAAAGCTGTCTAAACTGTACTGCACGCTGGACAAGAAGACACGCACCACCAGGGTCTCTGGTGCCAGGTAGCAGATAGTACAGAACACAGCTATAGCACATAGGAAGCATTGCTGAAAAGTGCCCATAAACAAGCTTGAGCTCATTTAACACGCGACTCAATAGATTTAGTGAAATAAGACTTCCAGCATCATATAATGAATTTATCATGTTTGGTATCAGCTAACTAACTCTTCACAAACTCATTGGTTTTGACATAAAATACAATGTGGCTAGGCTAATAACATCAGCTAGCATGAGCTAACATAACATTAACATTTGTAACCCTGGAGAAATAAATGTTAGATTTATGTGTTAAGCTAATACTTACAACTGACAAAGGGCTAGAGATTGACTAACACATGTGCTAGGTATAACCAAAGTAGATGTTTAAAATATATTAAAGTGACCATTAATGGCTGGCCTGACACATTTGTACCAGTGCAACGCGTACTATCATCTCACTACAGTTGTGGTGTCAGTGTTGTGCTGAGAATGGTCCACCACCCACATCATTTCTGGTCAGCAGTGGTTCTTTTGCTGGACAGAAAGAGCAGAATTAATAAATTCTGTAGTGACAGATGGGCTACAGTCAGTACTTGAAAACCAACAAAAAGTACCTATATATTACATGTACCCAATAAAGTGGCTGGAGGTAGGTAAAAGGCATCTAATAAACTGGCGACTGAGTATAGTCCACTAAACACAACCCACACATCCATCCTGCTATACCTGTGAGAAAGCGCTCACTCCTTTGTCTGTGCGGCCGCAGCGATGGTAGTTAGAGCTCTGTCTGTCCTGGATCAGCCTGGTCTTCAGGAGCGCCTCAAACAGCCGTGCCTCCACTGTGTTCTCCGTGTTCTCCTGCACAGCAAAGCCTTGGTAATTCCATCCCAGGTAGGCCAGACGCAGCGCCACATGCCGCCGAGGGTGTACAGAGAAATCAAACACCCGCTCTGCTTTCTTTCCTTTCTTTCTGGCTCTTCCATTCTCCTGATTCTTTATTTCAGCAGCAATGGGATCAGGGGACACTGTGGTCCTCTCCTCCACTGCTCCATCACTCTTTTCCTTCAGGTGAGCCTTCAGTCTCTCCACTTCTTCCTCCAGCGCCTTCACACGGGCCAGCAAAGCCTCCTCAGATAGGCTCATGGCACAGCAGAAAAAACACCTGTCCAGAAATGTACAGTGCAGTCTTAAAGGGCCCGTATCACAAAAAGCTTACATTTTTCTATTTTCCCTGAATTTTCTATCTTTTCACTATTTTACCATCATCAACATTACATATAGAAACTCAGAAGACGCATGTAAGTTCACTGGTGATTTTAGCTGTGGACAACGTGACTCCTGGCTCCTATCACTACCACTGTGAAGAAATCTAAGTCGGTAAGTTTGTCTACAATTAACCATTTTACATTAAACCACTCAATGATTTTGTTCACATCTTAAATCACTGAATTATACAGACATAATGACATGGCAGCGGACTTTATTTCACTCCAGTACAGTCAAAATTCAAGGCGAAATTAGTCCGTGAGTGAGCGACTTGAGAACAGAAATTCCAGAAATCTCTCTGCTCATGTGTCGTCTCTGTAGTAAAGCTACACCATGTAACTAGCTAACCTACAATTTTATAGGAAACGAGGCTCTACAAACGTGCAGCTTTCGCCACAGACTGCAGTTACCAAGTTACCAAGCTAACAGAGAAGCATGCAGCTGCTGCCGGACCAGGGTAACTTTTATTCTGCCCTTCACTCTGTCTCGATTAAAAGTTCTTACCTTAAAACGCATAAACAGTGGACTGGACTATCTTCGATCTCGTACCACTAGTAAAATCATAAGAACATTTAACCGAAGAGAATAACACGTTGTCTGAACACACAAACTAAAGTGAATCCGAAAACGACGGCATGCTCGTCCTGGCCAAACACCAAAATAAAAGTACCTCTTGAACTATATGATTAATGTGAATTATATTTTCATGTAAATAGTCCTAAGAAGTACTAAATACGTCGATTTATTTAATGCATAAATAGGGTGCAAAAGACGTCCATTACCAATCACATACAAAATTACCAATTTGATACTCAGTATAAAAAAAAGTCATTTTGGGGGGAAATAATAGAACAAACAAAATAAATCTGAATGTCCTGCTCATGTACCTTTTTTGCTAGCAATCAAAAATTTTAATATTCATATTTAAATAATAACACATGCCAAGTCCTAAACTGGCACCTGATATTGACTCAGTTAGCGATTAGTAAGTAGTAACAAATAATGGATATACCAAATAAAGACATTTTGAAAAACTATTTTGAAGAAAGGTGTCTTCTTGTTTGAAAAATAACCCAATAAAGAATTAATGATTTTTCATAACTGAAGAAATTAGTTTTTGACAATAGACTGTGGTTCTGTATATTGAACATTATATACTTTAATTGTTTAGCCACCAGTAATTATTCTGACATTATTAATCTGTTGTTTGACATTATTAATCCTTTTAAACAAGCTGTTAAACTCTATATTATAAATATCCAATAAATAAATAAATAAATAGTGTTTGGACTGATGTAGAGGTATTAGCTATACTTGAATGGAGTTATTGTAAGCTGTGTATGTGTTGTTTATGAGACCAAACACAAAACGTAGAAATGTATATGGTCAATAAAAGTATTCTGTTTCTGATTCTGCTACTGGGTGACTCTAATATCTGTTCACAGTTAAGCATGACTGTAATGACCTCTGCCTTTTTAAGGTTTTAAAGTGCATAAGTGAAAGAACTGCATTCAGAGCATAAGGATCTGGTTAAAGACTGTCACCAAGTATTAATCTGTTTATGTAATATAAAAGACAAAAAAGACATTTTAAACTGTCATTAAAAAATAATCATGACTAAATTCTGGTTATGATTCAAAGCCAGGGCAACAATGCATCATGGGAAGCTCAGAAATGATTCTGATTAGTTACTGCAATGACTGAAACCTCCAGAACTGAATCTTTTTAACTATTTCATTATTATTTCGTAGTGAAGTCAGCCTGTGATGTAATGTTCTAGTCAATGTAGTGAACTGCAGGACATAAACTGTGCAGTGGGTGTCAGTGGTGAGCTGCTCAGCTGGAATCAGGAATTCAAGTTATTTCTTAATTACAGTGTGTTCCGATATTCAAAAACAAACAAACCAAAAAACAAACAACAAAACAGCAACATTATTAGTAGTAGTATTGTCATTTTTGTTAATCTTGCTGTAAACAGTGATGAAATTAATATTATTAATAAATTATATAACTTTAATAATAATAATAAGAAGAAGAAGAAGAAGAAGAAGAAGAATTTGTCTAGCAGTGGTGCCAGTAGATCAGACACAGCAGTGCTGCTAGAGTTTTAAATACCTCAGTGTCACTGCTGGACTGAGAATAGCCCACCAACCAAAAACATCCAGCCAACAGTGTCCTGTGACCACTAATGAAGAACTAGAGGATGACCAAGACAAACTGTGTAGCAACAGATGAGCTACTGTCTCTGACTTTAAATTCCACTTTGTCGCTCTACAATTATGGACTGTGGTCCATCTGTTTCTCTGCATACTTTGTTAGCCTCCTGTGGGGCTCCTGACCATTGAAGAACAAGAGACTAACAAAGTATCCAGAGAAACAGATGGACAAAATCTGCAATTGTAAAACTACAAAGTGCACCTATATGTTAAGTGGAGTGGATTAAATGGACAATGAGTGTCGACACAAGGAGGTGTACTTAATGAAGTGGCCGGTATGTTATGGGTAAATGTCACAATAATCCTAGTTAGAAATAAAGTGTATTTTAACTAAACGTGTGATGAACAGAGATTGGTGGAATGTAACAAGGTGTGATTCAGAATATGTCACTGTGTATTATATTATTTGTTGCTGTTTGGGTACAGCTTGTTACAGCATGGCAAAGTAATACATTCTTCAGCAAAGCTTTAGCAGCTCCAGCTGAATGCTTCTCTGAATGTGTTTTTAACAACAGCAGCTGTGTTCTGTGAATGCCAGGATGCTCCTGATACTTCATCTGATCTGACCTTGAGAAACAGTTTCAAAACAAGACTCAACTGCACTTTTAGAAGACACTTTATCTTTACCTAACTTTACCCTTCAGGCCTTGTTTTGAAACTCTCTGTCACTCAAGGTCAGATTCAAAGTACTACATGTCTACAAAATGAGATGGCCAGGCTCTATTTAGCAACTACTATAAACAAGGTGCGAAGGGTCCAGGCGGGTCTGGGATCTCCTAATTGATCTCATGGTCTCAAAATCAAAGTCCTGGGAGGCCCCTGAAAATAAACTTATTATGATGTTATGCCGTCCATTAGTGAAAAATAGACACTTCAGCTGTTGATAGGAAACAGTGTTTAATATTCTTAACTAATTACAGCTGCAGCACTGGTCTGTCTCAGGGTGGCGCTGTAGCAAACTGGTTCACTCAGTTGGTCTGAAAAACTTTACAATATGCCAAAGCATATTTGCAAATCTAAAAAAATTTGCCCAATTTCTTAAGAGACTGATGAAAAGAGTGAATTGTTGTTTATTTCCCAAACTGAAGACAACAGAGTAGATGTTTAAGATTCCAATTAATGAGAGGAGGACCACATTACCAAACTAGAAAAGAGCATTTCCAAAAGAAGAATTGTTAAACCAAACATTTTGGTGCCATTAAAGCCAGCATCAGCAGTGCTATGGCAAGCGAGTTAGCAGTTAGTCAACGTTAGTCAATGTTAGCAGTTAGTCAGCCAACATGGGACCCCTGAATACCAGGGGGTATTCCGCACACTGACTATAAGGCTGTATGTAAGTTATGTAGTTTTGAGAGTGAAGAACTAAAGTGTGGACCTACATGCAGGCTTTTATGGTGGAAGGCTAAGGTTAAGTAATAAAGTGAAGCTGCCTTTATACAAGAGTTAAAATATTCTACAAACAACAGCAGTCTTGCTGACAGGGAAGACATACTTGCTTTTCAGGTTTTTCAATAAAAACGGAAGGCATTAGAGTGAAAAAAGCAATTTCAAATTGAATTGTTTGGCCTCATAAACAAATTAAACTTAGGCTGCAGCCAAGACAGGTGGATCCTCTGTAGCACTGCCTTATGGATGCTCCTCATTTGTATTACATAATACACATTTTTGCAAATCCATCATTACACACTATAAAAAGCTGACACAAACTAAACTAATTTAAATACTTACAAGCTTTTGGAATGAATAACTTACATCTGAACATAAATTCTGATGCAATTTTTGGTCTTCCAGCATTATTCTTGAAGGATTATGGGCAACAGAAGACCATGAAGGATACTCCAGCAGTGTTCTCAAAACCTGTAGAACGTAGGCCATATTTTGCAGATATATTCAAAGGATCCTTCTGATTGGAACAGTCTTGAATAACATAGCAGACTAGGAATGCAGCCCATAGTAGACTACAGTATAGCTTTTGGGAACACAGCTTATTTTACCAATAGCTCCACAAAAAAAAAACAGGGAAGCAAGCTTCATGCAACAAACATCAACTACTTTTCGAATAAAGGGCAAGTGTGAATTTGACTTTTTGCCAAACTGTTCCTTTAAAGTGGCTCAGACATCCTGGGTATTAACACCTAGAGGCAAAGTTCTCTGACCACTAGGCTATGACCTGTGTACAGACTAGGCCATAAATCTTACAGCAGTGAAGTCGAAGTTGTTGCATTCGCTGAGTCACAAAGTTTGTCTCCAGTGTAGAATCAGAATGCACTCATCATATAATCAGATATGCAGTCGTCATATAATCTTGATCATAGTACAGTTATGATGCTTTTAAGTGGTCCTGGTTTTATTGGAAAAAAACAAGAAAGAACAATGAAAAGGGAAGAACTACATTAAAGTCAAAGCTATATTAAAACTTTTTAACCTGTCAACAGAAAGTTCCTAATGGGACTATACAAAATATTCCGTAGTTTCAAACCACAGACTGCAATACATATAAAACATTATTGGGCAGTTTTTCAGATCCTGATTTAATCCTACATCTGGACTGAAAATAATTTCCACCACTGGCACTGCAATTTAGTCAAAGACCATGCTTAATCAATTTCTGGGACACCAGCCCTGTGTGGAATACACTATATAATGCTATAGTTAGATGCAACCAGTGCTTGCAGTAAAACATAATAGAGTATAATACACAATACAATACTGTATTTACAATAGTGCAGATTCAACAGCATAAAGACAGTACATTACCATTCCAGCACACAAAAACTACCACACCAACTGTAATGTTTGTTCAGCTATTGTGTAGATGAAGCAGAATAATAGCATGATATTGAAACGTCATTACATGTGAGCAGCTGATACTTGTCTTGTCCTCTACCAAACCAACAGCAGCACTTCCTGAGAGTTAACTGGCCCAACATTTCAGTGACAACATGTCACAACAACAGGTTAAGACATTTCCCTTTATTGCCACAAAAGAAAAGAGTGTAGCAGAATGAAAGACAGTTTGTCATAAAGCTGCCTTCAACAACATGAATAATACTAGTCAGCATATGACTGGATTTTTTTACAAGCCAAACAGGTTTGGTGGGAATAAGCTGACTGATGTTAAGCCCTATGTATATTAACCAATAGTGGCTGAAGTACACAAATCATGTACTTGAGTTAAAGTAGAGATACCCAGGGTAAAATATTACTCCAGTAAAAGCAGAAGTCCTCCCATTTGACCTCCACTTGAGTAAAAGTACAAAAGTATTTGCCTTCAAATGTACTTAAGTATTGAAAGTAAAAGTATTAAAAGATTAATTATGACTCTAATGTCCTATTACCATTTTTGTAACAAGACTCCTGCTTCATTAACTAATTTTAGGTGAAAATACTCTCGTGTCACCCTTGGTAAACCAATCTTTTAATAGAAT